ATATGTTAGCGTAATTGGAGCGCGTGCTCGTGTTTGCCGTCATTTTAATGCATTGTACACATATTGTTCTTATAATAAATTCAGTACCATTAGCAACGCGTTACGATAAACAGTGTTTTATTTTGCATCTTAATTGTGGCAAGTAATATTTCGTCATCATTTCCAGCCACGTGGTTAGATTGTACATGTGGTTTCGAACCCTGCGACTTCGAAGCCGTTGTCGACATGTACCTCGAGCCGCCTTTGTAATATTAGCGTTGTGTAATAATGTGTTATGTTTCTTGTAACATTCCTTGCACCGTTTTTCGGAATTACATTCGTATTTATGCACGTATAAACAATTTTCGCATATGTGTAGTTTCGAAATGGTATGTAATTTCGTTTCAGGTGTCATTACTACCAATTTTTGCATTGAAACAATGCGTGATTTTGTTGGCATAAAGGACAAGTAGGTATAAACTTGGAGTGTAACATAAAACGATTTCTTGAATGATGTATCTCTGTTCTCATAAATTGAAGGTTTTTGGTAATAACGTTGTTTAAATTTTGATACATGGTTACGTCTATTAAAATTCGATGTTTCGACTGTCTGTTCTTTCCTATTCATAGGCTCTAGGGCTATAAATTTGGCTTCCAAAAACGCCATAAACTCGCCCAAATCATTTTCATAAACGGTTATAGTGCATGGGACCTCAGGTGTTATTCCAGTGATTAGGTCTGTAGGCAGCCGTAATTCTCTTCCAAAGTTTGCGAAAGCTGGTGTCACTGATGTACTTTCGTGAACAGCGCTTCGACATGACAATAAAAACGATTGTGCTTGTCACAATCTTGTGGTCGATTGTCTACAACTTTTGCTAGGTACCTCTCCAATGTCTGAATCAATCGTTCTACCATTCCATCAGATTGCGGGTGGTAAGAAGTTGTTCTTGTTTTATGAGTACCCATAACTCGGCAAGTTTCCTCAAATATTTGAGACTCAAAATTCCTTCCTTGATCCTATGGATCTCTAAAGGTACTCCAAAACGACAGAAGACTTCATGAACTAGTTTATCTGCAACTGTTGAAGCTTTTTGATTTGGAATGGCGAAGACTTCTGGCCACTTAGTGAAATAATCCATCACAACCACGAAATATTTGTTACCACTTTTACTTTCCGGAAACGTCACCGACCCACGTCAAGGGCTATCCCCTCCCATGGTGCACCAACATTGTACAATTTCAATGCACCTCTACTACGAGTATGAGGTCCCTTCACAGCCACACAACTTGCGCATTTGCGACACCAATCCTCGACATCGTCACAATAGTGGACCCAGTAAATCCGTTCTCGGATCTTCAGTAGAGTTCGCTTAGCTCACAGATGGCCTCCTGAACAACCATTATGGTACAGCTATAGAACATCCTTTACTTTAGCTTTAGGGATAACCATATGCAAAAGACATCTGTCTCCCCGACCATTTTCTCATTTACGGCACAGAACTCCATTCTGAATCAGCAAGCTGTCCCATTGGGCCCAATAGCTTTTCGTGGTCGAACTCATCGCTGAGACGTCACTCCTCACGGGCTTGGGAGCACTGGCCTTCATCCATTCTAGAATCGTCTTGATATCCGAATCTTCCTGATGTGCATGTTGTAGGCTGTCCTTCCACTCGTTGCTGAGGTGGTCTGTCCTGAGCATCCTCACAGATACCGCTTCCTTACTCTCTTGCCTAGTAAAATGCCTGTATTCTTCAGGACAAGGTCTTCATGACGATGCATCTGCGTTGCCATGAGATTTTCCGCTGCGACGTTCGATCACAAAGTTCTTGCAGTAGTTTAATCCATCTTGCAACTTGTCCTTCTGGGTTTTTGATCTGCTATAGCCATTTCAGTGCAGCATGGTTCGTAAATGAAATTTGCGACCCAGAATATATTTGCTAAAATGCTGCAACGACTTTACCACAGCAAGCAATTCCAGTCTTGTGACACAATAATTCCTTTCCGGTTTTGACAAAGACTTGCTGAAGTAAGCTCACAATCTCTTAATCACCATTCAGTTGAAATTTTTCTTCTCATCGGTTAGCTTGTATAGAGCATTAGCTATATCTGCAAAAATCTCCACAAATCGCCAATAATAGTAGCAGAACCCCAAAAATGCTCTAACCTGTATCTTGTCTTTTGGAAGCGGCCAATCTTTGACATCGGCGATTTTTTCTGGATCCGAAGGTATCCCTCCTTCCGACACTACATACCCCAAAAAGCTAACTTGCCACTTGAAAAGTGAACATTCTTCGGACTAAACTTGAGGTTGGCACTCTGGATCTTCATGAGCACGCGTTCCAGGTTTTGAAGATGTTCCTCAAAAGTACGGTCTGCGACGATGATGTCATCAAAGTAGATCATACAGGCATCGCCAATTAGCCTGGTAAGTATAAGTTCTATCAACCTTTCAAACGTTGCCGGAGCATTGCATAATCCAAACGACATAACTTTAAATTGCCACAGACCCTTTCCTGTCGAGAATGCAGTTTTGTCCTTGTTCTTAGGTTCAATTTCATCCACTTCCTTCTGACGTGCTACCGGAAATTTTCTTGGCCACTGATGTTGAACTAAGCCAGTCTTCCGTATGTCAGCATCGTTCGACAAGTAAACATCGGCATACTTGAGTAACTACTTCTTCGCTTTGATCATTTTATTCAGGGAGAGAACGTTGCGACAGTCATGTTGTTGTGCATGCTTGCTGGGAGTTCCAGTCGACAGATATTGGCAAGGACGCAACCAATCCACTCCCTCATAAGTACTAACCAGTGTGCCTTTTTCTATAATCTGTTCATCTGGTCACAAAGGTTCAGCACACGCACTCCTGAGATATCAGTGGTACTGATCAAGGTTCGAGCCACTTTCCATGGAAGGTCATTGTCTGCCCTTTCCATGAGTACACAACAGTGAGCTTGCCCATGATTCCGAGGAAGACTAACCGGCACAATCGTTTCCGATCTCGGCGGTAGAACAATCTTCTTAAGGCTGTACACGTTGCCTGGTAACGGTCCCTCCACAAAAGTTCCTCCTATCCACATTTCAAAACACCTGCTTAACTTGGATCTCACAACAATTCTTCCTCATAAAGTCTAAGTTCAGGATGCAGTCCTGGGCTTAGACTTTATGAGGAAGCCATATCAGCCACGATTACATTATGCAGGTAAATCACGTTGCCTAGCTTCAACTCCATCTCCCCGCAGTATACGCTGAGCCGTAGCTGTTACCAAATTAACGCTTTCTCGGATGTATGCGCAGTTCCCACGGAACTGACTAATAAGTTGGGAACTGACAATCGTGCGAGAGGCTCCATTGTCTATGGTCAGTTTACACGGCATTCCGTTGACCTCGCCCTTGATGATAAGCTGTTCCCATCATTGGCTTGTGAGATCGAGATCCTTCAGGCTCTTTTAAAGGTAGTTTCCCTGCTGCTGCTGGGCAGTGCTGTTAGCCGCACTACCCTCTCGAGATCGATCACCTTCCCTTTCTACTCACTCTACTTGGCCGGCCTCTGACGCCTGCAGCTGACACTCCGACGTCTGCGGCGTTGCACCACCAAATCGTCTCTGGTCCGTCTCTTGCTGGCGTTGACTTCGACTACAGATGACACCCTCCGTGTACTCTTTAGGTAAAATCGGCATGATTGTATTCTACTTCTGACAAAAATTTTTACGAGCTTGGGGTTCGTGACAATAAAAACTGCCGATTGAATTACAAAAATAGACACTTTAATTATTGAACACCAATTACAACTTGAAAGAACACTAATAATTAATCACACTGATCACCTTAGTTCGCAGGTATATCGCTTCGAAGTATTCACTTGAATCGCCAATTCAATACTGACTCGGTCGCGGTCCTTAACGTCTTTGTATAGGACTTTTTCTACTGAAACGTCCATAATGCTCGAGCACATACCGATCCCGACCGACTAGGTGTAGAAAGTTCTCTCCCAGTTCCACCACTCGATACTAGATGGCGCTACTGGGAAAGTTCTCGCTCTGCTACCCGGCACTAGATGACGCTAGTGGCATTAATTATGACTTGCAACAGTAGTTAAGTTTCGGGAGCGGTACTTAAGCTTTTTTTAAAACTACAAAATATGTTTCGATAATATTACAATTATTTGACATTATAATTATGCATCAAAAATTCAGTGCAATACTGACTTACTTAACTAAGTGATTACGTAACTACGATCAATGCAACGGCTTTAATAGCTTGGTCAAAACAATATCCCTTGACTGAAACTATGACGCCTTTTGGAAAGCGAGTACGCTATAAATGTAGCATTCTAGTTTCTAGTGGTGAAATAAAAACTGCGATTGTTTTTCTTAATCTATTACAAAAAAAAAACAAATATTTTGTCTTTATTATATTAGTTTATATGTCAGTACATACTAAGCGAAATAAAAAAGAAAAGTATTTATATTTAAATAATATTAGACCAATATATAAGTTCACAAACCGTTGCTATCACTGACTAATAAAATATATATTCTAAATTAATGACCTAACGTATTGTCAATCAAATTTTCAATGTATAATTTAGGATAATAACTGGTTCTCTTTATCTCAATCTTTTTAAATCTTTTTTAGGTAAGTTAGATGAGACGCACCAGGTGCGTCATGGTCCTTGACATAGGCGCGCCTGGGGTGTCATTGGTCACGAATTAGCCTTCAAAATCCGCCGTCTATTCAAAATTGGAATAAGTTATTAGTTCTCTTTTATTTTCCAAAGGATAATTGTTACAGTTTTCGTTTTAACTTTAGTAAGAAAGTATTTTTTTTTTCATATTTTTCCAGACTTTTAGAACTTCGTAATTATTTTTGAAAGACTTGTTTATATATGTTATGTTATTACTTTATTTGCGGTGTGAATATAAAAAAATCGTTCTCCGTTTAAACAATCTAAATCCTGGAATAATTGAACACTAGAAAAGTAATAAAAGGTTAATCACGTTTATTAAGCAAAGGGAACTTACCTTATCGTTAGTAGAAGAAAGCATTTCGCTCAGCCATGGATACAGAGAGCCGTCTTCTGCTAGAGCGGTCGGTGCGAAACACGGCCCGCAACATACGAGCGCGCTCATTGCCTATAACAATTCCTACATCTTTAGATGTTAAGAGGATACCTTTAAAATGAATCACAGTTGTGAGGAAGAGTGTCAAAATGTGAACACGCGCTGGGAAAAAACAAGTATGCGCCAAACAACATTTTTATTTTTTTAACAAAACTCTGTTATGGGTTTAAAAATGATTTATGATAACTTAGATATGACTATTATAATATACCTTAAAAATAATTCTACGAACTTATTCGTAAAAATATAGTTGTGTCATGGAGAAATGTAGTTACATTTTTAGAGCCAACTTAACATTTTTTTTGTTTAAAATTAAATGTTATCGTGTTTTAAAATATTTTAATGCCTGTCTATTCGTTTTGATCTTCGGGATGGCTGTACCCATTGTGATGAAACTTCACGAACAGACAAACAGCAGTGCCAGAAGTGATATAGGTTGTAGTTTATCCAAAACACATACAGAATGTATTTATGATATTGTGAAACTAATAAAATTGATGAGTTATCTTATAAATTATATTGTTACCGATGTTATAACCTTGGTCAAAATTAGTTAAGAGGACATAATTATGAAACCATATCAAAAATCATTGAATTCTCTAGTGATGCAATAGAAGTCAAATCCAATTATGTAAATCTCGTAAGAATTCAAATTGAAAATGTAAGCATTTAACAATTACATAAATCCTTCACGACATTATATTTGCATCTTTATTATTTTAACACTAAAAATCTACAGGGTTATTTTTCAAAGAGTGGCCAAATTTTAAACTTCATTTCTGTGAAAAATAATTTTTGTGAAAAACTAAATTTCACATAAATAATGATCCACCGTTATTGCAGCTTTTGAAAATATGAATAAATAAGGCTTCTAAATTTATTTAAAATAATCCCAAATTGAATGTGATTTATGGGCAACAACGTTTTTGTCTACATATCGACCCTTACGAATGTGTGCGTGCAAAGTAAAACCAATTAAAGTAATGCATTACCACACATTGTGAATTGAAAATATAAAAAGAACTCAATGTTTGAGACTTTTTGTATTAATTTTTCTTCACCATTTGTCTATACTTACTTATTCTGAACCTTTTATGCAAATTTGGCCGGTTATTGCAAAATAACCCTCTATAACCTATACACCAGCAACTTACCCGAAGTGCAGAGAGATTCAAGCGTTCGTCGACTTCTACCGGAGACTGTTGCGGCTGCGTTACAAGAGATCCGAGGTGTTTCGCTAAGGGTCCACAAAAGCCCGCGAACAGCGAGAACAAACCCTTGCAAAGATCCTTCTTCATCAGCGATCCGTACATTTCCACTAAACACAAAACTATATTTTACATACATACTCACAACATTAAACAATATAATCGAAGGATAACAATGGAATCATCAAAATTGATTCCACGGCCAAGCCTTTCAACTACGGGCGTCATGAACTTGAATGTTGTTTTAAATAACAAGAATTGGTAATAATATCTCGAGAGAGGGCGCTGATTAACTTATACAAAAAATAGAGTATTATGATTTAGAGGTTCTTCCTCGATATTCGTGTGAGGTAAGTCGTAAAGTTTCGAGTATAAAATAGAAGAGAATCGTTTTTATTCAATACAGATTACAAGAATATACTGGATGATTTTTTTACCGTCTGGAAAAAATAGCATATAACAGGTTAACGGAATAGAAGCCTATGGTACTGATATCTTACATTTTTTTTTGCTTTTACATTAACATATTATGAAATTGAACTATAAACTCAACATAATTAAACTTACAACGCTAGTACACGCTTTATTTCTTACCTTTTAGGTATGAAATTGCAGTGTTTTGAATACTGGCTAATATAATGTTTGATATCTCAACTTCCACGTGGATTTCAAAATCAAAGTAATGTCATACTATAGTTACGAGGCTTTTTCAAAATAATTAGTTATTTTTATCTAATTATTTTTATTTTACTTGAAATAAAATTAAAATAATTAGATAAAAATGAGAATGGTTTAGAAAAATACCAAGGTAAAAATAATTTATACGTGGGGAAAATAGAATGAAGTTCAAAGACAAATAAACAAAAGTAATCTAGATCCATAAATTGCACGAGTCAGTTTTCGTTAAGAGTCCTACATTTCGCAAATTTAGGTACTTTATGCACAGAGCGGACAACGATCTACACGAGCGATACTTTCTTACATATCTATTCACTCGCTTGCATTGTGTGTATAGCGACTAAACGATCTTGATTTTTCATTATATAATTTTTCTTAGGATGGAGTTCAGTGGATAGAAAATTTTTGGTGTGTCATATTTGTGTTACCTAATTATTTTAATATAATCCGTTTGATATATTTTTCATTATTTATGAACCTTAGTGTTGAAATATGTACATATAAATATTTTAATTGTTACGCTTTAAGCGATTGTTAACGATAATAATCAATTATATCTACTAACGGTAGCATAGTGGTATAAATAAATAAATAGTACGGTTGCAGCCTGTTTTAATAAATAAAACAACAATCTGTAAATAATATTTTATTTTTATATCGGTTGCATTGGCCAGTATTATCATCATCATCATCATCATTACAGCCCTTCACAAGTCCACTGCTGAACATAGGCCTCCCCCAAGTAATGCCACAAAGCACGGTCCTGAGCCACCTGCATCCATCGACTTCCTGCATGTCTTACCAGGTCATCACTCCATCTAGTGGGGGGTCGCCCTACACTACGCCTACCGGTACGAGGCTGCCACTCGAGAACCTTTCTTCCCCATCGGTTATCGGTACTTCGTGCTATATGGCCGGCCCATTGCCACTTCAGCTTACTAATCCGTGGGGCTAAGTCGATCACTCTGGTTTTACTGCGGATATCCTCATTTCTGAGTCTATCACGCAGAGAAACTCCGAGCATAGCCCTCTCCATAGCTCGCTGAGCGACCTTGAGCGTCCTCATACGGCCAGCAGTGAAGTACCACGTCTCTGATCCGTAAGTCATCACTGGCAACACGCACTGGTTGTACACTTTAGTTTTCAGAGATTGAGGTATACCTGACGAAAAGATGTGTCGTAATTTCCCGAACGCTGCCCAGCCGAGTTGAATCCTTCGATTGACCTCTCGGTCGACGTTGGACTTACCTAGTCGGACTATTTGTCCCAGGTAAACGTACTCGTCAACAACTTCGAGCATAGTGCTCCCAACAACTACCGGCATAGGTGTGACATGGACATTAAACATGATCTTTGTTTTGTCCATGTTCATCTTAAGACCTATCCGTTGGGAGACACCATTGAGGTCATTGAGCATAGTGCTAAGGTCCTCCAGCGATTCTGCCATAAGGACTATATCGTCGGCAAGACGAAGGTGAGTGATGTACTCGCCATTGATGTTAATACCGTATCCTTTCCAGTCCAATAGCTTGAAAACATCTTCCAACGCAGCGGTGAAGAGTTTCGGGGATATAACTTCACCCTGTCTTACACCTCTCTGCAGTTGGATACGCTTCCAACTCTGGTTCTGTACTCGGATAGCCATCGTAGCCCTACTGTACAAACACTTCAGCACTTCGATATACCGACAGTCAACTTGGCACCGCTGAAGGGACTGTTGCACCGCCCAAATTTCGACGGAATCAAAGGCTTTCTCACAGTCCACATACTCCAGGCAAAGTGGCAGATTGTACTCTTCGGTCTTCTGTACAATCTGCCGCAGGGTATGTATGTGGTCTATGGTACTGAAGCCTTTTCGGAAACCGGCTTGTTCTGGAGGCTGGAAGTCGTCGAGTCTGCGTGCGAGACGATTCGTAATGACTCTCGAAAATAGCACGTAGACGCGGCTCAGAAGGGAAATCGGTCTGTAGTTCTTCAAGAGAGCGTTGTCGCCTTTCTTAAAGAACAAGACCACCGCACTTATGCTCCACACCTCCGGAGTAGTGTCACCATGGAGGACGAAATTGAAGAGCTTCTGAAGGACTTCAAGTACCGGTGTTCCACCCGCTTTCAGAAGCTCCGCTATAATTCCATCCTCGCCTGGGGCCCTGCCGTTTTTAAGGTGCTGGAGAGCCATTTTAATCTCGCTCAGACTGACGTCCGAGATATCATCGGAATAGTGTCGGGTAAGACTTGCTCTTGGATCGTTACTCACACTTGCGTGTGGCTCCAACGATGATGTGTACAGCTGCCCATAGAACCTCTCAATCTCACTCAAAATCTCAGGTGTCCCGGAAACGATGCTGCCACACTCAGTCTTCAGCTTTGACAGTTGGCTCTTTCTTGCAGACAGATCTCTGGCAAAGACTTTGGAGCCCTGGTTCCGCTTGATCGCTTCTTTAATACGAGCAGTATTAAAGTCGCGTAAGTCTCGCCGCACGCATTTGGAGATCTGTCTGTTCAGTTGCCTGTATGACTTTATGGAGTTCAGTTGCCTGTATGCTGTCAAATCTGTTGACGATTGCAGCCTCATCTCCCGTCTAACAGCCATAAGATTAAGAGTGTGATCGGAGAGTTTTTGTGTTCTTCTGCGGCGGGACTTGCAGAACTTAGCTCCGACCGCATGGACAGTTTCCACGAGTTTGTCATTCATATCGTCCACTGCATTGCAATCTTCTAGGCACTGAAAGCGGTTACGTAACTCGAGCTGAAAAGTCTCGGGATTCTGGATTAGAGCACGAGGGCGACGGAGCGTTGACTTCATTAGACGAGACCTCTCCAACTTAACGTTTAGGTTTAGTGTGCCTCTAACCATTCGGTGATCGCTGCCGGTTTTCACCCTTGCGATCACTGACACATCACTGAACAGTTGGCGTTTGGTCGTCATAATGAAGTCAATCTCATTTTTTTGTCGAACCGTCGGGGCTCGACCAGGTCCACTTCCTGTGGGGTCGCTTCTGGAAGAGAGTTCATCATAAAGAGTCCCTCTTTCTCCATAAAGTCAGCCATCTGCTGGCCCCTACGGTTCCGTTGCCCTACTCCAAATTTCCCTAACTTTAGCTCACCGCCTTCTCTTGTGCCTAGTTTTGCGAAGTCTCCCATCAACACCGTGTAATGGGTTTTGGAGGAATGCATGGGTCTAGAAATATCCTCATACATTTCCTCCACCTCCTCATCGGGATGTGCCGAGGTTGGTGCGTAGACCTGTATGACCTTCAGCGAATACCGTTTGGTGATTCTGAGTATCAGGTACGCGACCCTCGTCGACACACTCCCAATCTTTACAACGTTGTTGACGAGAGACTTGTGGACGATAAATCCGACACCTCCTTGGGACAGATGGTCGCCCTCCCGGTGATAGAAGAAGTTGCCGGACTCGAGGATTACCGCGTCCTCCCCTTCTCTTCGGACCTCAGATAATCCAATAATATGCCAGCGCAACTTGTCTACCTCTTCTTCCAGCTCCAGTATCTTCTCGTTAGTCCTCAGGGTGCGTGCGTTATACGTTGCCAGGTCGAGTCGTCGTAGATGGCAACCGAACCTCCACTCCTTCTTAGCAACCCCTGCCCCGCCGTTACCATGGTCGCCACCGTAGCCAGGAATAGCGGGGCCGCCGGGGACTGGGGGCCGTTTATTTGCGTCGTTGCTCATGCGGGGATATTTGCCATAGTTGCCACGCTTGGCGAGCGGGTTGGCAACCGCAGTTTTTTATTATATTATTGTTGTTATTAGGAAGATGCTGCTGCCCATCTCCTTTATGTGTCCCTCTGTCGCCTCTTACGACACCCACGAGAAGATATGGGGTAGTGGATATTCTCAACCGCCACTACACGGCTGCTACTTGGCCAGTATACTGGGTTCTATTTCGGAACACAGTCCAAAATAGCAGCGCCTATACGGCAATCTACGTCGATTGTATCACTACGATAATATCAAAACGACGGAGCGCGCGAAATGAAGTGACGCAGGTCCAACCTCGACAAGCGCTCGCGCGATAGTGTACGCTGTACGCAGATGACCGGCGCGGTGAAATATATGGTACTTTTATTTAATTAACTAAAAAATATAGTAACGATTTAAAAAGTAAAAATCATAGTATAGTTAAAGCAAATGTTGATGACTATTTTGGTATAAATTTTACGTCAAAATAATGTAGAACTTCGGAGGTATTGGGACTTGTATCGAAGCTTTTTCGGTCGTTAATTGAATTATGACGATTTTTTTCTTTACGAGAAAGGCACATAACGAAAATGTATTATATGATTATTAAAGTGTAGGATATTTGTCAGAAAAAAAATTTTTGATGGTATATATTCAATAGAATCAACAAATTAGAGCTCTCAAATCATGTCTCTCAGAGTTTTGGCGTAAATACTAAATAAATAAATAAGGTATCTAAAATTTGCTCTGAGATTATTGTAGTAGAGAAAACGAACTATTTTACCAAGCAATTGTTATTTCATGCAATGAACGGAAAACATATAATTTAGTTTTTTTTTTTGTAATACTCCTCTTAAATATTGTAAGATGCCGATGTAAGTCATCGCTCAAAATACTTTCAAAAATAAAAATCAATGTTGCTACAGATTTTCCTTTTTTTTTCACAATTTTAATAAATCTGTACAGATAAAAGACTTGAACTTCAATAAAGCCTTGAAAATTGAATTTAGAGAATTCGACGATTTTTCAATCAAAATAGCAAAAGAGCACCGATAGTAAAAGTCGATACTATTATTACAGTCGATATTATTACGATTAGCTCAATACAATAACTTTCAAAAAAGTATTTAATTTTAATACTTTTTTTTTAATTTAATTTTAATACTTTAGTATTTAATTTTAATAATTCGTATATAAAATGAAAATATTAGAAAAGAAATTTTACGTGACCATAAGTCACATAACGATAAATTATGACCGCTCTGGCCTTGTATATATATATATATATATATATATATATATATATATATATATATCTTGTATATACACCCACATTATAGTCGAATATAAATGGAAAATGTGAAACTTACGCGGGAAACTCTTGACGAGCTCGGTGACGAAGTCAGCGAAGGTTAGGCGTTGCTCCCTGGCCGCTGGCGCATCTTTTTCCGCCTCTACTTCAAGACATTGCCGTACTCCGTCCAAATACTCGGTGATTGACGCGTGTAAACTACCGGCTTCCAATGCGAATGAACTTAAAACAAAAAAAAAAAAGAAAATACGCAGAAATGAGGTGAGTTTATTAAGATGGGAAGTTGTCAACGTAAAAGTGCTTATAATTTTATAAAAGCATATAAATAAATTAATAAAGGAGGGATATTAGCCAACTTTTAAGGTATGTAATACATACCGATAGTTTTACGTCGATATCAAAGTACGACACGTAATAATAGCTGTTATAGGTCCGTGGCTTGTAAGACCTGTACTCAAATCTTTAAAGAAAATTTATATGAGTAAAGATTTTTCATAAGCCAGTCAATAGAAAGGAGTCTAGTTTCGGATTTCCCACCCTACTATATAATATAATTAGAGATGGGCCGAATATGGATTTCACCGAATACGAATATTCGGCCGAATATTTGACCAAACATTATTCGGAAAGATCACCTCAGTACCAACCAATTTATGTCGAAACTTATTACCATGAAGCGCGTGGGATTAGCGCCGGACCGCATCCCTAGCTCCCCCGCCACACCTGACATGTTACTGCATCATCCAGTACTGGGAAAATTGCCGGAACATGTTTAGTTTTTAAGTATCTTTGTGGAAATAAAAGTATTTCGTTGTGTTATTCTTAGCGAAAACTGATACGATAAATATACGATAAAAATGAGTGACAGGAGATCTACTATTTGGATTTATTTTATAGAAACTGACGACCAAAGTAAAAGTGAAATGTACTCATTTAATGTAATATTTCTTTGTTTGATTCCAAAAACATTTTATCAAGCTTTCTATTTGCTACAATTGGAAATAACTCTACAGTGTCCCAAAAACATTACGATATACAAGTAGATTTAACCTATAAAATATACTTTCAACAACAACAACAGTAAAATTATGAAAGACATGGCATTACTCAATTCGTACATTTCAATACAGTGGATACTGGGTACCACTTAAACGAATGTTCGGTGATTTACCCGAATATTCGGCCGAATAAGAATATTCGGTAAAACTGCCAAATATGCCGAATACCGAATATGAAACGAATATTCGGCCCATCTCTAAATATAATATGTAACTAAATTAAACGAGATTCGAATAAGATAATTAATACCCTATATTTAAAACTACTATTTATAATAAATGCTGATTATAGCGTGAGGCTCATCAAATCTTCATAAAAGTTAAAAGTAACAGAATTGTTCGCTTAATAACAAATTTTAATTTAAAACATCGTGTTCCGAATAATATAATTACCATTATATTTTTATACAATAAGGGTGACAAATGAGCACTCAGTCCACCTGATGATAAGTGCAAGCTGTCACCCATAGACATCAACAACTGTCCTCGATTAAGAATCGTATTGCAAATGCGTTGTCACCCTCGAGGAATCTCGTTTCGATTAAAAAAGTTCTTCGGTTCACTACACTCACCATTCGAAACACAGCATCATTAGGCTGCTATTTTACGCTAGTATTTTATGAGAGCATGGTCTCCTCGTGGACCCCGGTCGAGTCGACCAATTCGTGCTACAACCATAAAATGGATGCAGCATGGCTCCACCACGTTTTAAATATAATTTCACGTAATCATACAACCATGAAGTGTTAAAAAAATTAGAAGTAGCAAAATTATTCCTATAAAAATTAACGTTAATTTAAAACATACTAAGTATAACTTGTTTTAATTTTTTCGCCATCTATATTTTACAGATAACGGCCTCGCAAATACTATACTTATTTGATATAGAAATGTTAGCAAACCTACTACAACTGGTCATTTCTTATCTTTATCGCAAATTATAAAATTTAAACTAACATAGTTTTTCAAAATAAGTGATGAATGACACAAAAATTTGCATTGATGATGTAGTGTTTTGGTTGTTTTAGTTTATAAAATTAATTATTTGCGGCAGCTATGAGCTATGAGCTTCACGAAGCTTAAGTAAAACGAAGTGCATTGTTATTTACCTGCTAGAAAACGTGTTTCGCTGCGCTATGATGAGAAGCATCTTGTTAAGATGTAGACGCAATGCGTCCCTACGACGACGCCGACGCATGTTTTCCTGCTTGCGATCTACCGCTTCGCGCAATATGGGCAGAAGCTCTTCGAATAAGTCTCTGCAAATGAAAATATTGATGAAATGTAGTAAGGTGCCAACAAACTTTTATTCAACTACTATAAAAATATTAAGAAACATAAACTTACTTTAGAGCGTCGGCGTTGATGTGTCCGCATGCTGATACTGCAGCATCGCGCACTTCGGGCACCTCGCATCGCACGAGAGGTACCGCAAGCTTATGCAATGATCCTGGCGATGCCTGCGAACTTCGAGCTTCGCCACCGCTACGCTCGCTAAGCGAATCCGGAGACGAACTATAATGACAACACAGTTTCATTGTACCCGTAAACTTTAACAATTATATTCCTCTCTAATCACTATATACCAAAAATCATAGCTGTTTTCGTAAATTTATTCAATAATATTAATACGACGAGAGGAAAGTGCATGGACACTATTATTAGGATTTTAATATCATTGTACACAAATATATCAACTATAGAAATCAAGGCTTTCTATAAATTTTAAAAACTAATCAAAACAAAAATATTATCTATATTTATTAATATCTAGATTTTTTATAAGAACATAGCTGTTGCTGTGCTCTATTATTATTCTACAGTTCATGAGATGAACATTCAAAATTAATTATTATTTATCTATAATCGCATGTAGGTATTTTATATGGTCTCTTATAAAATCCAATTATCTATTTAAAGAGTAAGAATACGTATGCTTCCTTTGTCTGAAAATATTAAGAATATTAAATTAGCAAACCTCTGTAATCGTCACCACTGTAAATTTAATAATATTATTAGGTTTTTGTTTTAATTAACAACACAAGTTCTTTATGAAAAACAATGCGTGGGTGACCATCAATTATAAAATACTTTCACAATATGATAAAACAGCGATATTAATTAAATAGTTAGCACATTTTACATACTACTTATATATTCCTACTACTCTAACAATTGAAATGTCTCTAATTATTAAAAATACATACAAATCCACAAATTTTAAAATTAAAGTTTGAAATTGAAGTCAGGGTCGTGCCAAATGGAAATCCGTAGCCTCTACCTACCCCTCTGGGTGAAGGGGTGAGTGTCGAAAATTATGAATGAAGTGCCCCGTCGCGTCAGTCTGTATGTATGTTCACGCTAATCTCAGAAACTACTGTGGGTATTTTCATGCGGTTTACAGTAATGGACTAACTGTTAAAACTGGTAAAAGTTAAGGTATCTTATAATATCATTAACGGATATTTCGTGTATATTAGACTTAATGTTTCGATGATATTGGTGGTTAAAGTAGGGAAAAAACGTGCCTCCTGAGTACTTCCATGACGTGCGCTGTTAAAGTTAGGTGAAAACAAAATGTAATAGAATTATTCTTCTCAAATAGTCTAAGAAAAAGTCCAGACTTTTCCTTAGGCTAGACTTAGGGATGTTCTCTAATTGTAGAAAAATTAATTGTGTCTTTCGAAGTATAACTTCAGTTTTTGTGAGTCGTTTGTGTAACAAAGCATAATCCATGTGAAACAATACTTTATTTATTGTTTCGTGCATTTTATTTAGATTAAAACAGTTTTCATCCAAAAGCTTTTGGACCAGCAGTTTCAAATTATGAAGTCAGTACGCGTCCCCCGCTTATATGATGTACTCGAACTCCATATATATTTCTGGTGATAGCCAAGTATGCAAGATTTAATATCAGCAAAATAGGGACCCGTTCAGACACGCACTCAAGGGCACACTATTCGAATGGTCGTGTGAAGTGTGTTGTTTTCGAATGATGGTGGGTTTGACTCAAAATTAGTTAACTTTGAAGACTTTTAATACAAATTTTAAACAATAGGATTAAGGATTAACGATATAATTTCTTTATAACATACGTACGTATACTACTATAATTTGGAAATGTCCACCGGCTATCTAAATTGGTTGAATGTAAATCAACTCTAGGAACTCTTAGTAGCAGACTTATCACTACGCCCGTCAAGTCACCACAGGTCTTCCGGGCGGTAATACTTATGCTATCCGTTTAAAACTGGGCGGGGGTTAGTTAGTTAATTTATAAACTATAAAAACCCTATCAGCTATACAAACATGGAGTGTAACATTTATGACAGCAGCGAGTATATTATAATTGCTCAGACATAAACAAAACATACATTCTTATTTATTTTTTGGCACTGAAATAGTGAAATAAATAATTTACATGAAGCTCTAATGATTTAGAGTTTGTCTACATTACGTTCAACGGCGGACTGAATGACTCATCGGATCAAAACAATGTGCACACACCACGATGTTTTACACGAAAGACTTGATGTAGCAAAATATTTGGAGCAGGCAGTTGTACTATAAAGAATTGAGTAAGAAGAACATTTTCTGACAAAGGGAGCGAGTACCTCATCAAACAATTATAAGCAAAAGGTAGTAAATAACAAGGTATAAAGTTAAACACTTAGTTGACAACATACAAAATGAAAGATATACATTTTATCAATCAACAAAGCAAATACACGGAATGACTGTACAACAAGCGTATGAATTAAACAATAACACTTAGCAAAAGCTGCTACGGAAACTAGCGTTAAACAAAGTTATTAAAGGGCACAAGTAAACATAAATACTAATTCAAACTATATTATACACCAATCAAAACAAACCTGAACAAGTTTCAAAAGGATTGCGCCTTTTAATCATCATAATTATTCTAACTAGATAAAATTACGTTTCCTTTAACCATTTCTATAATTTCCTACTACTAAAAAGACTTAATAAACCTTATGTTTATTTTTTTATGTTTTTATTGAAAATAGAATGTATTACCTAACAAAGTACGTTTACGTATGTAACGTTATGTTTAATTGATAAAGTGCCCTATAATATTATATTTTTAGAAATTAGCGTCAATACGAAGTCTTAAGTTATAATAATTGCATTTTGTTTATTATACGTTTATTAATGATTATAGAACTACGTGCAGCATGGACTTTGAAACTACTAATATTAAAAATAAATTTTTTGCAAAAAAAATTAATAACAAGCTTTTATTTAAATGCTTTATACTCCAGCAATTCTAAGAAATTCCTTTTAATAGTTGTCACATTTATTGTACCAGGCATTCCAACTGCACAATCGGTACCTACAATAGTCGGTTCTTAAGAGATATCGATACCGATATATGTATATAACATATAACATAAACACTCACGCCTGTCACCCAGAGGGGTAGGCAGAGACTACAGACTTCCATTTGGCACGATCCTGACACACCTCTCTTGCCTCCTTCACATCCATACACCTACGCATACATGCTCGTCGGTTAAGGGTACTCATAATTTGGCCCGTTTTCAATAAATCGCCAATTTGGTCGATAAATTTTCGCCTAGGACGTCCCTTTCCGACTCTGCCATTCACTTCTGCACCATAAATTTTCTTTGTCACTCTTTCCTCATTCATTCTTTCCACATGACCAAACCACCGAAGCATTCCTTTCTTAATCCTGGTCACAACATCATCTTGCAAACCACACTCTGCTCTTATTACACAATTTCTTACCCTGTCATTCAGATTCAGCCCTAACATACTCCTTAACGACCGCATTTCTACTGCGTTTATTCTACTCTCGTGCTTCTCCTGCCACACCCAACTTTCACTACCATACGTTAAAGTAGGGACCAACACAGCATTGTGAATTGCCATACGTGCCTTTTTCGACACATTTTGACTCTTCACAATAGAGTGCAAGGCCCCATTTACTCTATTTCCCGCATTCACTCGTCGTTCTATATCCTTATCATATCTCCCATCCCTGCTAAATACGCAGCCCAAATATACAAACTCATCTACTTGCTCGATCAACTCCCCTTCTATTCTTATTTCACAAATCGTTTTACTTTCTTCTCTTTCAAAAACCATAACCTTCGTCTTACTTGCGTACACTTTTATACTCCTTTCTTTTAATGATCCGTTCATTAATGTAACCATCATTTGCAACTCGGCCGCCGACGACGCAAGAATAACTTGATCATCGGCGTACAAAAGGCATTTGACGGTTAACTCACCCATTCTTAGCATTCTTCAACTTTCAAATTTTGCAAACAACTGTCCATAAAAAACAGCCACGGGGAACCACACAGCCCTGTCTGACACCTTTATGGATGTCAAACCAGTCCGAGTAGACCCCGTTGATCCTAACACAAGCACTAGAGTCCCTATAAAGAGACTGCAATGCCTGTATCAAGCCAGCGCTCAACCCAAATGAGTTCAGTGTTTGCCATAGCACATCCCTATCCACTCTGTCATAGGCCTTTTCCAAGTCCATGAACGCACAAAAAACCTTTTGGTTTTTGGCCAAAAACTTCTCCGCGATCATGCGCATGGAAAAGACTATATGTATATATACTAAGAGATATCGATACCGATTCTTTAGAGTTGTTTTATCATAGTTTTATCTAGATTAATATTAAAATAAATTACAGAAAATAAACAATTAATACATAAAATTGTTCAATTTTCATATTTATTTCTTACTGCTAATTTCTTCAGATAAAGTTGTAAAAAATTAAAGACTACACTAGATTAAAAGAAAATTTATATAATCACTTTTACTACAACTAGTTGAGCTGTCGTCGTGAACATCGCTGTTTACATGAATTATTAATATATTTTCTATAATGCATTTAAAACAAATGTCTATTTCATAGTCGTCTATAACAATTTTCTTTGTTTTCTTCACCACTTTGGCCCAGTGATCGCTTGTGTAGTAGTCGTATTTTCTACAATCCCTCATCCAGAAGATTGCAAATTATGAGGCACTCGCCTTTTCCCAAGGGTACATTTCATCTGTCCATGTCTAGGTCACAGTGTGGTTGGCGTTTAGCCGTTTCATCAATTAATATAACGTTGTCCCGATTGCTTATATTTTGAATTTCTCGTAAAAATGTTATTTTTTTGCATTCACGTCTGTAAATAATTATTTTTCGTTTGTGATGTTTTGTATCGGAAACCAATTTCTTTTCAAATGGTTCTCCAATAACTCTATACTAGCATTGTACAGGCCGGCATCACCTAAACTTACTCGCAACTTCACCACAGTGGAACTCACAAAAATTATTTTTAAAAATAGGGTTATTTCATTCGTGATTCATATAATTTATGTAAATCTAAAAATAAAAATTTAAATAAACAAATAAAATATATATTAACGGATTAGCATGAATTTGAGTCATCTAATCACTACGGTAAGATACATAAAGACATATCAATGAAACAACGTCAAAAATAAAATTTGTTTAAGTTTTAATGTTTTATATTTTGCTTTGTTTGAAAGAGTCAAATTTAAACCATTGATTTATCACTAATTTTATATTTTTTTTTTAAAAAAACAATAAAAAAACAAACATTTGGTTGTTATATAAAAAATAATTAAGATCTAGTATTTTTTCTTTTTGTTCTATATATAATATAAATAGAAAAATATGTTCTTTACATATAATATACATGTTGTAATGAAATAAAGATAACTTCATAATTCTTTGAATTAACGTAAAAAGTTATTTTAAATGTGTGAGTATGTTGGTATACAAAGTTTGTTTTAGATTTTGTTGAGTCATAAAGCAACACACGGCGACGCGGGTGGCCATACGCAGAAGTTCCTCTGCGTACAATAAAACTAGTTGCAACCGCACGGTTGTATGCAATTTGTCAATTTAGTTCACGTCACGTCACATCATTACACTGTTATGACACAAAATGGATACTCTCCTCCTGTGCCGCCCCCCCCCCCCATGTGTTGTGTATAAAAAGAAGAAAAAAATTAAATTAAACCAAACCCCTCAATTTGTTACAATACATAAATATATATATATATATATATATATATATATATATATATATGATATTAAAAGCTTGTCGCGAGATTGTAAGAAATTGACGGGTTTGATTTAATTTAAAGTTTATTTTCCTCCTCTTAGGGCATTTAAATAAAAGCTTGTTTTAAAAAAAATTATATCAACAATTTAATTTTTATTTTTTAATTATCGCTGGACATGTTTCTGAATATTCATTTCATTTACTACTGATTTTTGATCGCCATCTTACATCCGCCATCATGAATTTTTATATCTCTAGCCTTGTCTGTCATTACAACATTTTTTTAGAGCACCACGAAACTATCCCTAATCTATTTTTCCCTCATTTTAAGTTTCTTTTCACCACCGCTAGAATTTGCCCACAGTAAAGATCAATATTAATTAAAACACGATCCCGCTAAGTCTTTCCATTTAGCCGGGTTATGGTAGTGTTTATGTATTACGAGGTGTAGAGCCATGCTGCAGTTATATTAGTAGTATAGTTGTAGCACAAATGGGTCGGCTCGACCGGGGAAGAACCACGCTCTTACGGAATACGAGCATAAAATAGTAGCTTAATGCTGTGTGTACGGTGAGTGTAAAGAACCGGAGACCCTTTATACTAGAAACGAGGCATTCCATCTTAGTCCTCACGGGTGACAACGCATCTGCATTTTGATTCGTAATCGAGGATAGATGTAGATGTCGATGAGCCACAGCAACCACTTACCATCAGGTGGACTGTGTGCTCGTTTGTCACCCTATCTTATAAAAAAATGTATGTATTCTTTTCAGCAAACTCTTTCACTTGATACTCATATCATGGGGGTGCATAGAAAATAGCTAGTCCGCCATCTTGGGCGGTCCACCGCATTGGATTTAGAATTACGTCACTTAGTAGTACTTGACCACGCATTGTCATCCAAACTAACTATGTATGCAAAATTTCAACTCAATCGGTTGAGGATAACTGCATTGAAATTCAGGTGCGAGATTTAACCCTAACAAACATACAAACATTGAAGTTAAATAAAAGCTATTAACAGCTAATTAACAGTATTCTGTACACTGTACTTTAAGCGCATTTTAATATTTAGTTCATGATCAACATTACACATAGATACCACCACAAACAACCACAAAGAAACGGTCACTAGTGATAATGATAGGCAAAATTCATTGCAATCTAATTATTCTGAAAATACCTCATAGGCATAACATGACGTCATGAATGTTATTGAGCGCAATGCCCACCTAATAAATTAAAAAAAATGCTTGGTCGAGTAATTATAATATTGCGTATAAACCTATCTAGGAGAAGAAGACATTTCCACTGTCAACAATTAATCCTCTTGACCGTCCTCATATAACACACAAATACTACCTCATATAAGACAAACTCACACACTAGGTGCTGTGGAATCACAAAAGTGCAAGCCACATATATTTACACAATTTGAGTCCCCTGCACACATCAACTTCCCGCTTGCATTATTAATTATAATGCAAAAGTAAAAACTACCAAACGAAAGTGTCGGCATCGGTGCACATTGATAACAACAGACCATCAAAATTTTTAGATGCGATCATTACTTGTTTTTTTTTTTTTAATTCATGATTTTTGAAAACAATCTTATAGATAAAAGTGGGAGCAGAATAATGTTTCGGCCGAAATTTAAAAAAAAACTTTATTCCTGTTGGCTTTTAATACTTAAATAAACCAATATATCCATCAAAATCTTTCGCATGTCCTTCAAAATCGACATCGAATGTCATTATTCCAAACAGTATATAATTACGTCAAATTACTACTTACTTTTGTCACCAGCAGACCTAGCAGACGGAATAATCGCATGTTATATGATTTCTATTAAACAAATAATGTTTAGACTTAAGACTCAAGATGTGCTCGCTGCACAGCTTTTAAGTAACTGTGTGGTCTCCAAATTGCAGTATCCAGTAAGAAAGTATAGACAAATTCACTGGTCGACTGTGTGTGACACTTTGTTTCGCGGGTTATTTCGACCGAATCACGCAACGTTAACAGCTAAGCCCTATGTTTCATATAATGCTAACTTTAGCACAATAATGAAAAGAAATATGACAAATAAGATAAATTTTCCGATGCCAAGTTTTTACGCAGTGAGTTACCTAAATTAGGGGTTCAGCGGCCATAGAAGTATTAAATACATTATCTTGAATTTAAAGTTTAGGTTCCATCAGAAAGACCATAAAATTCGGTAAATGGTACTTAAAAAATTCCGTCCTGATAATTATTTTTTACAATTTACCACAACAGTAGACTCTCTGGCGTTTCAATTATCTCCATGCAATTCAAAGTGCACACCACTAACTACACATTCCAAGTATACGTACGACTACGACATCACACCGATAAGTTTGTCGTTGTATTACATTTAAACCAACATTGAAACTGAAAGATAAAGTAACAGTGTAACAAATTATGACATTAGAAAACTATTTAATTATTCTATTTTTAAAGTAGCAAGATATCTTTCAATTTCAAACTAATAAATGCATACAATAATTCTATTAGATCACAATATTGGCCATATATTTTTGTCATTCACAAACAAAGGAAACAAGTAAATTATGCGACTACGTTACGAGCGTTCACATTAAATGATTATGATATGATACATGTTGATGTAATTAGTTAACTACATCTTTGTCAAAACGATAACACAGGCTTCTACTGATCGCTCTATCACCGTCGTAAAATTGATTTTATGATCACAACATTAGCGTTCAATTCTCCATGATATGCGCTAGCTGTGCACTTTACCTAAGTTATAATATTTAAAGGCAATAACCCACAATGATTTGTGCTGTCGATTCCATCCAAACGTGTCCTGAAACAACCCTGTTATAGTAAGGCCAACGAAATAAGATAAAGGATATAAGTTAATCTATTTTTTCTCTTGCAGTCAGTAAAGTCAGAATGTCGATTCTGCTAGCTGTAGCTCACTATAAAATTTATAGTGATGGGGAATGATCGGTTCAAGTAATTATGACGCTATTTTTGAAATTAAATTTCCCTTCCTTCAGTTGCCTTCATTACATAGTCTGCTGTAATAATTTTAATTATCAATTATTAGTTTCTTGTTCATTTTTACTACTTGATATTATGATTTATTGTAAATGTGACTGATTCAGACTCCAATTTATTTGTATATATGTAATTATATGATAAGATTTGCGTAAACCTAACTGTTTATTTACTTTCTTCACCTGGTCTCGCTGGCCTTGCTAAGATGAAAATGGCACGGCTCAAGCCGATCGACGACATAAACAAACGAAACAAAAAAATGAGTAATAAGCGTGATGGAACCGAAACACGATGTAGACAATGATGTAAAATGCGACGTGCACATAGCGAGCGACAATTGGCCACCTCGTCCGTTTGTGATGTCTATGCGCACGGGCATAGCTCAAGGGCAGCGTGAAGAAGCCGCCGGGCGCGTTGAGGCTCTCGCTCGAGGAACTGAGGGCGGGCAGGCCGAGCCATCCCTCCGGCTCCGTGTTACTGGACAGAGTGTCAGGTTGCGCCATATTGCCCCCACAATGTCACAATAGCCAGGCACCGCATTATGATACCAAGAAACATTTACAGCTATATGCAATTTATCGTTTAATATTGACCACACTTATTCTATATAATTGAGACATTTGCTAACTAGGCACAAAAATATAATATGTAAGTATGATCTATTTGAATAAAATTGAAAATCTTAAGTAGATTTAGAAATATCATCTTGCAATAAAAGTTTATGGAATGTTACTGCGCCCCTGTTACACGCACAAAGATCTCTTTAATTTTTAATACTTTTCATTTCATTTTTACACACGGAAACTTTATAAAGACATTACAGTTCACGATCTTTTTGAGTGCAATAGAGACCTAATATTGCAACGATTTTAAGTCACCAAAATTACTATTAGTGCCGAAAAAATTAAAAATTATGTGCATAATATCTTTACGTACGAAACCTACCCCACACCAAACATGCGTCACAAACGCATGCGGCGTTGAACATTTAGATACGGTTAAACAGGCGCCGGTTTTGTTTCTTAAAATGTAGTTTTAATAACTATAACTCTAATATCAACTGTTAACACGCAAACGCGTTCAATTCTCACACGTGACAATAACAGCAACATAAGATCGCTACTTGTCTCAGCACAACAAACCAATATTAGAATATTACACAAATAAATGCTTTACTGCCAATCAAATAATATTCCAACAGATAATTATTACTTATGAAGCCAGTTACAATATTTAAATATCTGGTAGTGTTAATTCTGCTACAGATTACGTTGACTGCGACGGAAATAATAATTTCGAATCATTATAAAAACATGTGTCTTCTAGAATTTGATATAAATATTGACAACGGTTTAAAAGGATTCGTCACACTCAACGTGCATGTTATAATATGTTTATTTATTCTTGTAGTTCACTTACCTGAGGCTGAGATCTGGACTAGCGCAGCGTATTACTGGACTAGGCACAGCTGGTACTACCAAATACGCCATAGTCATGTAATATTTCCAAACCTGGTTGAAGAGACAAAATTTTATCATAATATCTTATTTAGGCGCAATTTACACAGAACAATACAAAATTTTACTAAGAGCAAGCTTTTTATTTAACGTTTCAATGATAGATATTTCACTATAAGTTATTTTGATTTTTAGTTAAGTAGTTGTTTTCGAATAATGAAATTATGATGTTTATATAGAAACGCACATTAATACATTATGTCTGTTACTAGACTAAAATAGTACATAGAGATAAGTAGATTGAAAATCTGAGAAGTTATTAATAAATAGTAATTTCTTTTCGAACTTTCTATCTTTAACTATATCTTGAATTTTCTATATTATATAGATTTATATCCGTATGAAATGAAATTAAAAACTTTATTTAACATTGTGATCTATTTGACATTGAAAACATCACATGAAATGGATTCTTTTCCTTTGTTAGTAGTTATAGAAAGCTTGATATTAGAATGCGCTTGGAAATGATATTGGGTATTGAATTAAAAACATTTTATAACATATTTTTAACTTAATGCGTTGAAAATTAATATTTTTCAAAAGTAGGATGTTATAGATTTCGATCCGATTTTTTGAATGCGAGTTTCATCAAATCTCCACGTTTTGTGGTCCTAGGAAGCCTTTCTATATTTTACTAGTTTCCTGGTTCTGTTCTACTATTCCCTGCAGGACATGCCGCCGTGTGTGTGTGTGTGTGTGCGTGTGTGCGTGCGTGCGTGCGTGCGTGCGTGCGTGGTGTGTGCGCGCGTGTGTGTGTGTGTGTGTGTGTGTGTGTGTGTGTGTGTGTGTGTGTGTGTGTTGTGTGTGTGTGTGTGTGTGTGTGTGTGTGTGTGTGTGTGTGTGTGTGAGTGCGTACGTGCGTGCGTGCGTGCGTTGTGTGCGCGAGTGTGTGTGTGTGTGTGTGTGTGTGTGTGTGTGTGTGTGTGTGTGTGTGTGTGTGTGTGTGTGTGTGTGTGTGTGTGTGTGTGGGTGTGTGTGTGGGTTGTGTGGGTGTGTGTGTGTGTGTGCGCGCGTGCACGCGTATGTATGTATGTACGTATGTGGTACGTATGTATGTATGTATATCAATAGTTTCAAGTTTCAACGAATTCATCAATTTTCATTTTATTTATATCAATTATAGTGATCGCAACACTATTATATTGTGAAAGTTGCCGTTCATTTCACAACACCGTGTTTTAATGATATCACTTGTTGCTTTAATGATATCGTTTCGGGAAAGTTGGCGTATATGACGTGAAAAGAAAAAAAATGTAAAAAAACAACTAAATTATATATTAATGATCCTGTAGATGACTTTACGAAAGTTCTTTTAAAATTGATACCTTGATTATCATACATTCTTACTGTCTTAATTTGACTGTAACAATGTTTGTTACTGTCATGTTTTACCTTAAGCCTGCATTTAGAATTTAATTCCAAAAAATTTATTTGGAGTTGCACATACCTGCATGTACCCATCTCTTTCTTTCTCAGGCTTTCTAGGTAACGCTGGTCCACGAGAAAGGAGTGAGGCGCGATTGTCATTCACAGGTCTGAAATTAACATTGTTTTTTTGAACAACAAACTTTAGATACAAATAAAATATTTTGAAAAGATTGATACGAGTATGTAATAGATAAGAGTACAGAATAAAAAGTAAAAAAAGTAAAGTTACAGCCTATATACGTCCCACTGCTGGGCTCAGGCCTCCCCTCATTTCTGAGAGGGTTTAGGGCAAGGAAGTGTCCGCCGCGCTGCCCAATTGCGTGTTGACGAACTTCACATGTCTTCGAAATATTTTTTTTTCTTTTTTTTTTTCTTATTCCTCAGACATGCAGGTTTCCTCACGATGTTTTCCTTCACCGCCGAGCACGTGGTAAATCAGCACTTAAAATTGCAATTAACAATTTCATTGGTGCCGGCGGGGATCGAACCCGGGTTACTCGCCGTAAGAGCCGTGGTAGCTCAGTGGTTAACAGAATAAATTATTATAAATTAAGAGCCGTCGTAGCTCAGATGGTTAACGCTAGCTGTAAATATAACAGAACGCGAGTAACCCGGGTTCGATCCCCGCCGGGACCAATGAAATTGTTAATTGCAATTTGAAGTGCTGATTTGAGGAAAACATCGTGAGGAAATCTGCATGTCTCATGTCTAAGGAATAAGAAAAAAAAATATTTCGAAGACATGTGAAGTTCACCAAAACGCACTGGGGCAGCGCGGCGGACACTTCCTTGGAATAAAACCCTCTCATAAATGAGGGGAGACCTGTGCCCAGCAGTGGGACGTATATAGGCTGTAACTTTACTTTTCTTTTCTTTTACAGAATAAATATGAATTTTTGAATATCATCTAGTTTCTGATGGCATGACACTCGTAGTATTACGAGTTACCGTATTACCGCTAATTAAATTACCGCTACAGTCCACTGTAAGCGCACTGTGACACATAAGTCACCATCAAAAACTGCCTCATAGGTGGATTGGCGATCGCAGTTTTTAGTTTTATTTTTAGTTGTTATTAATAAACAGATACTATTCATCTCGTGGTTGGGTTCCCTTTGTTGCCCTTACGACACCCACCAGACGATACGGAGTAGTGGACATTCTAACACCGCAACTACACGGTGACGATATCTTAAAATCATTCGTATAAATATTTTATCAATATACTTATTGCACTTAGAAACAATCAATATTGATATTATCATTTAAAAGTAACATAAGACCACTAATACTTCACATCTGAAGAAACGAAATAATTATGTGATCTATCATCATCTTTTTTTTACATTTTTATTTTTTACATTACATTTATTTACAGCCTTTCACAAGTCCACTGCTGAACATAGGCCTCCCACAAGGTATGCCACAAAGCACAGTCCTGAGCCACCTGTATCCATCGACTTCCTGCATGTGTTACCAGATCGTCACTCCATCCAGCGAGGAGTCGCCCTACACTACGCCTACCGGTACGAGGCTGTTGGCTATGTCGGTTACTCTGGTTCGATATACATGTGATCTATATCCACATATATATAATGTATACTATATTCAGTGTATTTCTTCACCATTTTCGTCTACTTCGGGTATTCAGCGAGTGGATAAGTCTCCGTCATTATTATTATTATTTTCATCAGAATCACAATAAAATATCGCACCAAAATTAAATGAAAATGGCTGTTAGACTCTTAACAATCGATTTTGAATGTCCGTTTTCAAATCTGAGTATTATAAGTTTTTCTAAATATCTCGGAAAAGCTCTTTACCGAGAACGTCTCATTGTTATGTGTGCAAATGGCAATAACTAGGCAAACTGCAGAGTAATCAATCATTAGTTATTAAATTACTCTCTCGGGTTGTTTCATCACTAATAGTGGTAGTCTTTGCATTATAACATGGTGCGGCTGACAGCTTACAGTTTAGCTTATCTAGGGATGGAACAATGTTCAAGGATATGTGGTAGAGCCATGCTGCAGTTATATTAGTAGTATAGTTGTAGCACGAATGGGTCGACTCGACCGGGGGAGGACCACGCTCTCACAGAATACCAGCGTAAAATAGTAGCTTAATGCTGTTGTGTTTCGTATGGTGAGTGTAGAGAACCGGCGACCCCTTTTACTGGAAACGAGGCATTCCATCTTGGTCCTCATGGGTGACAACGCATCTGCATTTTTATTCGTAATCGAGGATAGATGTAGATGTCTATAGGCCACAGCAACCACTTACCATCAGGTGGACTGCGTGCTCGTTTGTCACCCTATCCTATAAAAAAAATCGATTTAAAAGAGACGATACGCAAAGCAAAGAATAAATGATCAATAAGCTATCGATAAATTATTAAAACCGGAACATATTTTATTTTTTTATAAATTATAATGCATGTAAAATTTTAGTTACAGTTCAATACAAATTATAACACTAAAGTTACATATTCAATATCTTGATGTACAACCTCTTGGAAATAAAGAACTTATTATTATTATGGGGTATAAATATAGTTTTCTCATCTGGTTGGGTTCTATAAATATATAATTATAAATGAAAATGAAAAGATAAATATACATAAATATCAATAACATAAAATAAATATAAAAATACATATATAAATAAAAGCCCAACCAGATGGAGGCCCTCGGCAGGGGAGACCAAACGGCCGAGGGTTAGGGGGAATGGGAAAGAAACCGGCGGACGATGCGGGCGGTATCGAGGAGCACCGCCTTTTGCATTTGAGCCTGGAGCGGTACGCCACGTAGTCTCAGCCACCTCAGATGACCCGAGCGGCTGACTGGGATTAGCCCGTTTGCAAAGACTACAGGAATAATTTCGGTCGGCAGACCACCCCACATGTCGGTCACCTCGTGAGCCAGGTCCAGATATTTTGTTTGTTTATCTGTTTCGGCTTTCACGAGGTTCTCGTCATACGGAATGGTAATGACCCAAAGCATCCTTGACTGTGCCCGGCCCATCAGCACAATATCAGGCTTATTCGCAAGAATAGTCCTGTCATGATGGCCCGGTCCCAGTAGAGCCTGGCGCGATCATTTTCGAGCACGGCTTCCGGCAAGTACATGTAATACGGCAATTTCCGATCCACGAGACCGTATTTCAAAGCGAGCTCCTGGTGAAGAATTCTGGCTACTACGTCGTGCCTGTGCAAGTACTCAGAGTTAGAAAACGCCGAACAACCGGAGATGACATGCCTAAGTGACTCACCGGGATAGCGACAAGCTCGACAGATGTCGACGGTGCCATCCTTTAGGATGTATATCCGATAGTTGTTGGTCTTAATAACCTGATCCTGTTGCACAGACAAAACCCTCGGTTTCCCCGAAGAGATCACCAAAGCGTAGCCAGTGGAGGGAGGCTACTGTGTCTACGAAAGGCTCATATAGAGCCTTGTAGAACCTCCCGTGGAGCTCCTTCTCCTTCCATACGGTCTCCCGGTCGGAAATGCTCTGCACTGCCGGGTCTTGCCATTGCTCGTTGGCTAAGGATATAGGGGTAAGTTTATCACAAGAAATGTCGTCCTTATAAAACGGATCCGATCTCGCCAGAAAGTAATCACGGAGGCTGCACATTTCGCGATTATGCATGGTTAGCGCGCTCAGGAAGCCACGCGCACTATGCTTTCGCGGCAAGTACAGCCTCATTACCGACGATCTCGGATGATGCATCCTATGGGACGTCATTGTAGTGCGGACTTTTCTATCCATGGCGTTAAGTTCAGGCTGAGTCCACCCGAGTATGCCATAGGTATACATGAGAACAGGCATGACCCAACCGTTATATGCGTGTGTCTTATTGACACTGGACAAAAGGCTGTTAAGCACTTTGGTCAAACGTGCATAAAACACGTCGCAAACTGACTGTTCTACTGAGTGGTTCCTTGGTTCCACGACCACCGCACCGACATCCATTTTGAGCGCGTGCCATCACCTGATTTAGCTCCAGGTGACGAGTGATTCTCGCGCTCAAAATGGATGTCAGTGTCTTATATATGGTGGGTAGACACGTGATGGGGCGGTATTTACCCGGGTCTGTGGTATCCTGATCTTTAGGAATCAAGTGAGTGATCCGAGTAGTGAAGAGGCTCGGGAGCGACTTCTGATCGAGAGCCTCTTGAAACTGTCGGGCAAGCACAGCGTGACACACTACGAACCGCTTCAGCCAGTAATGATGCAGCCCGTCGAGCCCCGACTTGTCCTTCGGGCCCTACGGACCGCCTCGAGCCACGTCTTCAGGCGTTATGGTGACGGGGTCCATAGGCGTAACACTTGCACTCTGGCTCGCCACAACTTCCATCCAAGGGCCCTCGCTGTGTTTTAAGGGCTCTGACCGCAGGCTACGCCAAAATGCGACAGTGACAGCTTGTTCCGGTCCTTGGCCCGCTCCACATACCTCTGGTCGTTGCAATGATTTATAGAGCCTCTTCTGATCACTCTAGAAGAGACGATTCTGGTTGAACCTCCTTGACCTCTCGCTAAATCGTCGAATTAGCTTCCCCCAAGCAGCGATTTTTTGCTTCAGGTCATCTATGCGCTCCGTTAGTTTCTGCGTGTTATCCGGCTGGGACAAACTAATATTTGTCCCAGCAAACGCCATTCTAACGGTGCGCACAACTTTCGGTCTATTATTACCCGACCTGAAGCTTGTCAGTCTGCCGATAAGAGCCCTTGCCTTTGCGATACGGTCTTCGATTCTTTTTCTCCAGGCTGGGATGGCGCTCAACAAAGTATGTTGAGTAGCACGTCCATACATGAGAAGTTTGGCGCCAATAATACGGCATACTGCCAATGCGGCGCCAAAAAAGAATTGAGTCCGTCTCGCACAGGTCCCGGCTGGCTTCCAAATAGGTCACTAGCATTGGGTTAAGAGCCCGCACGACAGACCGATTTCGCTTGCTAAGGGGAATGCGGGGAAGTCGCGGTCGATTTTTGAGAGGCATGCTGCGCGTTTCCAGCATCGACTCTTCCAATATGCTCCTCATTTTCTCTAATTCGTGGGAGACTATTCCACCATCGTCTGAATTAACCACAAATGGAATATTGAAGGCAGCATCCACATATGCAGTTTGCAGTTTGCAGCAGCCGTAGCATTTCCATTCGATGAGGGAACAGCCTCACGTCGTAATCGTTCGAGTTCGGCGTCACCAAATATGTTGAAGCGCAGAATGTACCGAATTCGGTCTGCCAGGTTTTGCTCAGTGACGGATAGAGATGGCTCCAGCTCTGCAAAAAAAGCGATGCATCCGAGCCCGATACGCCAAACATCCAGTTTCTTCCCCTTTTGCCCTAAAGTACGCCCGCAGTGCGTTTGCGTTCATTAATTGTGACAAACGCATGCGACATGCTCCACCAGCGGCGAGTGCCGCTTGCTGAGTCCGAGAAGACCCAGTCGACACCAAGCCTTCTGTTGGGGATGATGGATGCGGGGGGCTTCTAGGTGGTCTTGCAGCACCCCGAGCTCGGCTGGCGGCCCGCATGCTGTCGCGTCCAGCGCCAGCTCCAGACGCGCCCTGGCGACCTCCAGGCAGCGGCCCTTTGCGCACTATTTTTTTTATTATGTGCGCGCAGCTATGCAGGTCTAGGTAAAGAGACAAGTATCACTGCGACCTTGAAGATCTATTGTGATCGCTGCTATGGCTATAGTTCACTGCTAAGCCCTATGTCTTCAATGAATCGAAGGAGTTGCTTAGCCGTGAGCAATTTCACTTCTTCTGGGCGGAGTAGATAGTGTCCCAGATGAGTGTTACGTTTGCGCATTAAGGGTCCGCAATCGGTTAGGATGTGTAGAGGCGTTTCTTCCGTTATGGAACAGAACCGACACATCCTTGAGTTGCTTAGTCCCAGGATGGACATGTGCTTTTTAAGACAACAGTGTCCAGTTAATCCCAGGGCTTCTGAAGCGAATTTACGATCAAAAGCCGGGATTTAAGGTTTTAGAATGTTTTAAGCCTGGTGTGTCAGACCAGATCTTAAGTGATTTATTGTGATAAAGAGTTTCAAGGGTCAATCGGGCTAGGTTTCTTGAGATTCCACAAAATGGCTCGGGTCCAAATTGTGTGCACTTTGAGCCCTCCCGTGCAAGTTTGTCGGCAAATTCGTTGCTTACAATACCCTCGTGACCCGAAACCCATCTTAAAACGACCCTGTTGTTACAACCCAGGGCGTTTAAACGGTTCACGCAGTCTCCAACTAGCTTTGAGTTCACTAAGTTTGATCTCAGCGCTAGCAGTGCTGCTTGACTATCAGAGTTTATGTATATTTTATGGTTGACATAGTGTTTTTGCAGATTGATTTCCGCACACCGAAGTAAGGCGAAAATTTCTGCCTGGAAGATAGAGGTGTATCTACCCAAATCCATACTAAGTTTGAATTTGGGGCGCTCCCCCGTAAATTCCAAAGCCTACGTCGAGGCCCATTTTAGACCCATCGGTATACCATATGAGGCTACCGACCTCACAGATAACCTGGCCATTCAGCCAGTCTTCTCTGGAGGGTAATTCCACTATATACTTTTTATCAAAAGTGTATAGTGGACGCATAATATCTGAGATCATGCATAAGACCGGTGATTCCTTAATTGAGTCGAGCATGGATCTCAATCTGTAGGAGAGCAAGCTCAGATCGCCCTGGACGTTTTGCGCACTATCTTTTTTCCATCATCCATGGTTTGGGCGTCCATTAACGGGAGACGCCCAGGCCCGGCACAGTATCGTGTACGGCCATAAGCACAAACGGGCCTTTGTACCCAATTCTGCCGTGGCACGGCGCTCACACCTTTCGCAAGGCGCTGACTGACTGCGTTGACGTAGCAGTTTTGTCACTTAACTGTTACGTTAGCGGGCGATGGGGTCGTCAATTCCCTACGCCATTATTTATTATTATTATTATTATTATTATTCTATGTATTGATTTAAAAATAAAAATCATCTTTTATTTTATATTAATTGCAAGATTTATGATAGACCTGTGCTAAGCAGTGGGACGTATATAGGTTTTAAGTACAAGCATGAGGAGAGTAGCCATTGGTTTGGGTTGAATTTTTTTTTTTAATTATAACTTTCGTCAATATTCAATGTTTATGCTTTTACTCTTATTTAATATAGCAAATTGTAGAGGTGGGATATGATATTCGTCCAAATCGGCAGGCAAACACACATAACTGTAAGCGTTTACACAATATTAAAACAAATAAAATGGCTGCCAGCATCTGTGATTTTCAAGGTATGAGTGCTGGCGCCTTTGGCTACATATGTGCAATTAGTGTTACCACGTCCAGTGGATCAAATATCGGGTAAAGATGGTAAAAATTATCGAGAATTTGGTTAATAAATATAATAAAATAAAATAGTAGTAAATGTACTTATCTAAACCGCAGTAAAATAATTAAATAATAAATAATGGTCCAATTGACGACGTCAAGTCGATGCATAGCGTGGCTGGGCGAGCGGCATCACTCGGCAAGAGGAAAAAACAAAACAGCAGAAGTTTAAAACTTTTATGTTGACTTTAGTTTGCGTTTGGTAAGAAAATATGAAATTTCAAAGCCAAAATATTTAAATGTACATGTACAGCCACAGTTCTAACCGTTCACAGATTTATTAATTTTTCTGTCATAATTATCGATCAAAGTACAGACTAATTTAGTATATATGAATATGACGGCACCACACATACTAAAATAGAATTATGTTGCTTATATTTTTGCGATTTTTCTTGAAAGTTTTTACATCTGATTATGAGGCACATATCTAGTAAAAAAATACCGCTAGTAGGCATAGTAGATACGTAGCCGCGCATGCAAGTGAAATAAATTAAACTTTTATAATTTTATTAGTAAAAAAACTACATTAGGTGACATTTTTAAAATTAATGTTAATCTAATAATCATAATACAATAGAGAAAATTTATAAAAAGAAATTCAATGTTATTTTCTCATAGTTAAACATTTTCGTCATATTTTGCAAACACACACAAGTTACGTTCTAGTGACCAGTAAATCTGTCATCCACGTTATGCTACAACGCAGTGTAGTATACAGTGCGTTGTGAAAGTAATTTACACAATAGAACACTAATTTATGAATTTAGAGATAAATGTATTTTTATTAGTAATCAATGTTTTATACTCACGCAGGTTCAATGATTGTGTAGAGGGCATGTATCCTCGCGTGGAGTATTGGCCACGCTTGCAGTATGGTGGCGGGACATCTGGCGGGCACACGGCTGCGCTCTAATAAGCCATACAGTATTACCTGGAAAACATTTACTAATTAAAAAAACGAATTCTCAACAAATACGTCATTAAAAAAATCGATTGTGACAATCTATGATCAACTTATAATGTAAAAAAGTCGTCAGATTTACTCCATCCAGGCCTCGTATTGTTTTAACAAGCGTTGTATTGTATTATAACTATGAAAATGTAGAATCTAAGTCTAACACTCCCGAAATAAAGGCAGATCTACAATCACCTCACAGTTCAAAATTCGTAAAGCCGTTCTGGCTATAGATCACTCAAGAACAGATAAATAAACGTACAGAATCTGGGCGATTGAATTTTACTCGTTTTTAGAAAATAAAATAAAAATGTGCAAGTCAGCTTCCGTTTATCATAGCAAATAATACTATATCATGATTATCCCCTACAAGGGAAGGTAAGTCATTAATATACACTAAAAATATAAATGGGCCAAGAATTGAGCCCTGAGGGACACCCATCTGTAGGAGCCATCCGGAAGAACTTCTACCATTGATAACAACTTTCTGCACTCTACTACTTACATATGAAATAACTAGTTTAAGCTTAAGGCCTTGGAAAGGTCACAAAATATACCCAAAGCATCCTCTGAATTCTACCATGCACAAAAAATATGTTTTATAAGCTCAACTCCGGCATCGGTTGTCGAGCGACCCCTTGTAAAACCAAATTGAATTGTATGGAGCAATTTATTTTTATTAAAAAAAACTTATCATCCTGATGTAAAATAATTTTTTCAAATATTTTACACAAAGTTTGTAGTACAGAAATTGGTCTGAAATTGTCGGGGTCTGATGTACTACCAGATTTTAATAAAGGTGTAACTTTACTATGTTTCATTAAATCAGGAAACACATCAGATTCGACGCTTGTATTAGAAATAGTGGTTAGATAAGGTGCTACTGTATCTATTACGGATGCAATAACTTTAATGGAAATCCCCCATAAGTCTGCCGTTTTCTTAACATCAATAGTTTTAAAATATTTAATGATATCTTTTGGCAATACTCTATGGAATTTAAAAATATTCGGACAGGCCTTTACATTTTGTTTAAGCAATGATTCGGCAATAGTAGGAGAAGAATTTCATGTTTTGGTTGTCAAAAAAGGAACATCAGTAAAATGCTTCTCAAAAACATTACATACACACATACATACATAAACTCTCACGCCTCGCACCCAGAGGGGTAGGTAGTATGTATCGAATGTAGTTTTAATGACTCAAAAGTATCCGCATTTGGGATTTTTTAAACGTTTAATTACAAAAGACGCGAAATTACAAGGTTTCCCCATTGAAATTATATGTTTTCCGTTCGTCGCTTGAAATAACAATTACTTGGTAAAAATAGTTCGTTTTCTCTACTAAAATAAGCTCTAGGCAAATTTTAGATACCTTATTTATTTATTTATAGTCTTTGCGTTGTAGCATGGTGCGAATGAGAGCTCATGTCTATGAAGTTTCATATTTTTTATATAAACTGTCATACAGATATTGTTGTACTTCATGGATACCCATCCATATCATATCGTCATAGATATATAGGTCATAGACATAAAGGTCATAGAACATTTTTTATTCGTATTTTATAAAAGAATATAAAAAATTGTCCTGTTTGAAAATAACAATTACTTGTATTTGAAAAAAAAATCGGTTTAAACAACATGGTACCGATTTGCCCCATGTCAACATGCATTTATATCATCAGTAGGACATATTGATGAAAATCGCATAAAAAAATTGAGGTGTAATAGTTTTCGGTACTCTTCCGCCGATTCCTCCTGGAATAATATGGCTTATATGACATTATTCATTTCGCACTATGAGATGGGTGACTATGTTGCGCAGAGGAAAATCATAACGGCTTCACTTTTTGTTAACACTTGATTTTACTACCCATTTATTTTTCATACTATATTCAAACAATATTTTCAGGATACCTATCTAGATAAGGTTGGGAAATAAAACATCTAAATATAAAATTACATTGAAATCGTTACGAGCCGTTTCCGAGAAATCAATTATGTACATAATATATTACATGCAAGAATGGCTCATTTAAAGAATAGGTGAACCTGTTCTGTTCTACTCATTTAAATAATAGGCGTACTTGTTATTTTCAATACTACAATTTATACTAAAAATGCTCACCTCCCAGGGATCAGCGCCATTTGAAGCACTTCCACTCCAGCTGTTTTTAGTGGATGTTTCATCATGTTGAATACCTGTAAAACATTTTTTTTATTAACGACAGGTTTAGTAGACTTTTGGAACTATAAAAATCTTCCTCTAACTTCACGTTTCAAAATATAGTTACATGTCATGTTACGAAAAAATAAAATCGTAACGCAATTTCATCGGCAACAGAAGGTCGAAAATAAAATTAAGCAATAAAAAGGTCCCGAACTTTAATTAGACAAATTTCATCTAATTAAAGTTCGGGATAAATTTCATGAGCAATCACATAAGAAATTTAAAGATAGAAATTGTTTATTAAAAAAAAATCTTCCAATTTTTCTGCAATAACATTTTTGGTATTGGGTCCGCATTTTACAATTAAAAAATTTATTTTAGGTTGTGATTATTTTTAATTATATATTTTATTTTTAATAATGACTGGCACGAAAATAAATAGTTTACAATACAAGTAAACTCACCAGCAGTCCACACAGCATGGCTCCTTTCTGCGATCCATACAAGGTCGGGTTGACCAGCTGCTAGGATGGCCTGCTTCTCAGTGGGTGGCAATATTGGCAGACATTTCTCCGCGAAATATGGCACATGCGCATCTGCCGCGTCGATCAGGGCCGGCTCGTCGCGTGTTAGTTGCAACTTGTCTAGGAGATATTTAATTTCCCTGTAAATGAGGTATAAATCGTACATATCATTGAAACATAAAAGAACAGTATTGCGATAACAGCAAAAATGAAAATAAAAATAACAGCATTATTAGTTATTATTTATTTAGAATAAATAAATAAATGACAGCTAAAACACCTTACTAAAACGATTACAAAGGGTGAAATTAATGCCTTTCGGCATTCTCTCGCAATCAAGAGCTTGATGTACGCATACTCAGATTTAAATAAATTATGTTTAAAATTTTAACCGAAGATTTCTTAAAGAAATCCGTTTTATTGTTACTATTTAGCTAATTACAAATGCATAGTACAAAAACTATAGGGAATACCTAAATTAATAATAATCACCCTTATAAAAATATCTAAGCTTTTCAATTCTTTGTCTTGTCTTGCTGGTCAATTAATATTAACTCTTACCTAAGCACATGCACAGCCAATCTTCTGGGATATGATTTACACTGGCACAACATCACCAGACCCAAAGCCTCAGCTCCTCTGACAACTGACGCCAGAGGTTCTTGCTTTAGAGGTGCTGGAGCTATCACAACGGGTTCACCATTTTTCCAACTCGTTATCAGCTGTAGTAACATCCTTAAACCATTCTCCACTAGCTGAGGTGAAGTGTCCTGAAAGTTATTAGACTTGTATAAAGTTTTTAATACACAAAATACAACATATACATGAGTATACAACAGAGTTGTATCATGTTATTTTAAAAACTTATTACACACATATGTCAGAACATATACCTTTTCTAAGGCTTATAACATAATAATAATAATGTCCTCCAGACCGAATTTCGGCCACGGCGGCCTGCCTAAACGGAGGCTAGCCATCGATGCAGGACAGGATTAGAGTGTCCAAGTGTGTGCAAGCACAGGTGCACTCTCTATACCCTCACTCTCATAATCCGATGGAACGGTTAACCGACACGACCTGAGAGAGTTCAGGCGCAGGACCAACGGCTTTACGTGCTTTCCGTGGCACGGGGGTGAGACACCGCCAATTTCCTGACTTTGGGCAAATACTGAGAATTTCTTGACGGAAAAACTCAATAATTAATATTTTGGCCCGACCCGGGATGCGAACCCAGGACCTCATGATCAGCAGTCGCACTACTACAACCACTAGAGCAACGAGGCACTCTGAGATTGCTTATAATATAATATTGTATTCAATGGTGTAATTGTGAAGCAACATACCTGGACTTCTTTGGCAAGAAACTGGGTGAAACCAGCAAGTACATCCTGTCGCCATTCCGGAAAATCCACGATAAGAGTCTGAAGGCTTTGGAATGAGAGACCGCGAAGTTCCTCATCCATGTGTACTGTCAATCTACACAGGAGGTCCACTAGTTCACTGGAGCTCATGCCTTCGGGTATTAATCTGAACACGAAAATAAAGAGTAAAGTACAAAAAGTGTTTTTTTTTTTATTATAATAATCAAGTGACAAGAAAACAAACAGTTCATGGTAAGGGACTAACTACTGCAGCTAGTGGACACCTGCAACGTGCTTTACCCAAAACATGCTCCAGATGCGTTGTCATCTCTGAGGAATAAGATGGAATGCCTCTCAGCCTTTAGTTATACTCGCTTGCTATAATCAAGCGGAATCCTAGGCAGAAAACCTAGACTATGTGCCCTCTATAAGTGATTTAGTTAGTAAACTTAGAAATGAGGATATCCACAGTAGAACCAGAGTGACCGATATAGCCCAATGGATTAGTAAGCTTAAGGTCGGTTTTAGAGCTCGACCGACCATCGGTGCGTACGTCAGTCGCGCTTGCCTTTTGTATGAAAATTCACAAGTCGTTACAGTGCTCAACCGACCGTACGCACGCGTATATAGTTACGCACTGCGTATGAGGACCGTCGATCGACCGACGCGCTATGGAAACGTATTGACGTGTTCAGTGCTACACCGATTGTACGGATGCGTGTATCATCGTCAAGAAAATCGAACCTAAATTTTAATGATATTGTATGATTTTTTGGGTGTTGAGTAGTGTTAGTGATTTAAGTAATGTTTATCAAACATGGCATATGTCGACACCGAACACCTCGCGGATGTTAGTTGTCTTGTAATTTCACTGATAATTCATCAAAACTTGACATTCTAAAGTAATTAAAAAAAATTTCTTCATCTTCGCGCAATAATGATATAAAGTAGTTAATTCCCCTTAAAGTGCTTTTTGGGCGACGATTGGGTGAACCTGATATCTACGTCTACTGTTCTTTATACGTTTACGAATATAGTAAGCAGCAATTAAACAATTTGTAAACGCGTCTATTTCGTGTACGTGTTTGTGACTGTACCAGTCCAGCCAGTTTCGTTACCCAGGAGAGCACTGAACGCTACAAACTGACTATCGGTTATGTATATCGTCAAGATCGATGGTAAGCACCGACGGTCGATCGAGCTCTAAAACCAGCCTAAGTGGCAATGGGCCGGCCATATAGCTCGAAGAAGCGACAACCGTTGGGGGTTCTCGAGTGACAGCTTCGTACCGGTAGGCGAAGTGTAGGGCGACCCCCCACTAGATGGAGTGATGACCTGGTAAGACATGTAGGAAGTCGATGGATACAGTTGGCTCAGGACCGTGCTTTGTCATACTTTGGGGGAGGTCTATGTTCAGCAGTGGACTTGTGAATGGCTGTAATGATAATGATGATGATATATTCTCGTAAGATTTTTATACACTTACCTCGGTATGGCAGCAACACAAGTTCTAAACAGATCTATTCGCGGTTTCCTTTCCCCTGTATTGATCTCCTGCTCCTTAGTTACATTTTGAGTATTAGTCAACATTAACGGTCTTCCATAATGTGCGTCTAATGCCCTCAATATCTCCACTAATACCCGTCTCACATATGGAAAATAAGCACTCATCCCGATTGACCTTGCAGTCTCGTCTGTCAACATTTTGTTGAGGAAGGTCTTTTTAACTCTTAAAGTATTGCCAGAGGGTAAAGTCCCGGACGTCCTTGGCATCGGTGGTTCACCCTCCTTTTGCTGTAAGCTGTCAGCAACAACCAAAAACGCACGCAGCCCGATGGACATTCTCTCTGGAGTCATTATTATCTTAATGGGCCTTCCCACCATGAGCAAATCAAATACTATTTCCCTCATGGCAAAGTCCAGCCTTTCTTGTGCGATGAACTGAATGATTTTCACGAAGATGTTTAACGGCGTATCACGTGGCACTACTCCCTTAGACCCTTTAGGGAATAAGGAGTTCACTATGCTTTGGAGTCTAGATTGGGTTGCAGAATTGCTCTCGCATTTGATTCTTATCATGTATACCCAAAGCAGGCGATATAGCGCCTCTGTAAAATAAATAAAAGATAGTTTAAGAAATTTTGAACTGGTAGAAATTCATATAGAATCCCTGTGAAAGAAGCGAGAAAGGTGTGTCAGAATCGTGCTAAATGAAAGTTCGTAGTCTCTGCCTACCTTTCTAGATATCAAGCGTGATTTTATTTCATTTTATTTACTTCTGTGATAGTACATCACTGTCACCTCTATATATACAAGTATAGTAAAGATCGCGGCACATAATTTGAACCAAAATGGCAGTTGTTCGCGCAGGTACAATAACGGACAAAAGTGCGGTTGCCTGAGAAATTCAAAAATTTTAAAGGAAAAACCGTGAATTCATCGTATTTAAATATATATATTTTTTATAAAATGTGAAAATAGATTGAAGCAACTTAATTAAACGTAAAAACCTTCAAATTTTATATCAGCACGTAATTTTGCACTTAGTTTACCAAGGGTCTTTCTCAGTTAAATGAAAATTATGAAAGGGTACATCGTTTAATTACCCCCTTGTCAAAATCGTCATTGCCTGTGACTGGTATTATTCGTTGTCTCTTTTTACCAGGGGTCCTAAATGTAACTAAAAACTTTTACTTTATTTTACAATCCTTTTAACAGTGGATACTGACTTTTTCGTAGCTTTCGCAGTTTTATTCAGAGAATCAGTTATACAATTTTCTATCAAAAAATAATTATAAACACCAAATAGCATTCTTCTCCCCTGTCGCTTTCAAATTGGTTATTGTCGAGTCATTTTATTAAAATTAAATTAAATGATCACACAATCGAGAGAATTATAAATGTCAAATAAAAGAACTGAAAACTTCGTGCGCAATTGTACTCCAGGGCCGCACGGTGAGTGCGCGGGACAGAGTGCGTCTGAGTGGAGACTAGCATTGCTACATTGCTATGGTTACGCGCAGTCCCTCGCGGCGCACTTCATACCGCACTTCGACTGAGACCCGAAAATGTGTTACTGAACATTCAAGGCCATAGTTCAACTTACGTGCCGTGATTTATACACTCTTCGGATATTTTTTTTTATTACTTACAAAAAAGTAAATAATAATGATATGTGTAAAATTTGTGTTACTACTTCAAGTAGATCATCTCTTTTTAAACATTTACAGGAATAAAATATATAGAGCATCATCATTGGTTAGTCGTTTTAATTGAGTTTGATACCAAATATTTTAGATGTTGTAATTTTCTCTGCTTTGGGATGATGAATTTTGTACCTGGCTTTTTTATGGCCTCGTTGTCATAAAATGTGAATAAAAATGTAAACACTACTATATTTTTTAACCTAAACAATAATTCAGTTCATATACTGAAGGAAAAAGTTAGACAACGATTTCATAAATTTGGAGCTCCAGAATTAATAACATTTATACTTATTTTTTTTTACATCTAGTATTACCTCTTACGTCTATAGAGTATGTGCATAATAAAATTGAAATTAAATTCATGACAAAATTAAGAATTACCTAAGGCCACCCTACACATCTTTGGATCCCGGTTCTTCAGATGAGACAAACACATGGCAAGGAAGCAATGCCAGTTTGCGAGGAAAAACTGTTTCTGCGAGACACAGAGTAGGCAAGTAACCAGAGGAAACAGCGCCAGCCGATGCTTAGACTTAGTGCTTGCGTCGAGTGTATGACTATACAACATTTCAACAAAGTTTTTTAGGCAGGGCACATTTACTTCATTCTTCACCGTCTAAAATTAGAAAAAATATAATACACTTTGAAGATTTAAATATGATGTTTTAACATAATTTATAAATATTTACAGCCTTACTTACAATCCTTACTTACTTAAATCTGGTATTAATTATCACTGTACCTTGAATAAATGTCATTTTACGGATTTTATCGCATTTAGTTTAATTGATTTAATTTAATTTTAATTCCAGACGTTTTGCTGTGGTGTTTAACATCCGATGTCACAGCCCCGGCTACCTTCAGCTATAAACAGGCTGCCTTTTTCTATTGTCTTGTAATGAAAAGAAGCAGAGAACAATTGTGTTTCTTAAATTAACATCAGCTATTGTGAGTAAGGCCGTAAGTATTTATTTAACTCAAGTATGATTACTGCTTAATGTATCTTGCTTATCATATAAGCAACACTTACTGCAGCAACAGGTACTAGTATTTCGACAAAAAGCCCAGCTAAAGCGTGCCGTATATCCTTGTCCTTGACTTCGAGAAAATACTGAGCACACTCCTGCAAGAACTGAAAGGACGCCTCAAACTCCTCTATGGGAACCATCTTTACACGGAAGAACTTCATTCCCATGAGTAATGATATTATGCTCTGCGTTGTATGCGGGGATGGTTCTCTGCTCTTAAGCTCCTGTGTACAATAATATTGTTAAGGCTGTAAGAATTAGAAATATAAAAAAATACTTTCTTATGTTTAGAGTTTCCATCCAGTTTTGTAGTATTTTGCCAGAACAAGCTGGATATTTAAGCTTATATAAGAATACCACTACTTTCCTAAGATATATTCTTTCTCAAATTTATACTTTACGCCATTTTGTGAATTGTTAATATTTTTAGTTACTTTTATCTATATATTTCTGCCTACCAAAGTCCGCTGCTGAACATAGGAGTCCTTAGGGACCGCCTCATAACGGGGATATTTGCCATAGTGGCCACGCTTAGCTGGCTGCTTGGCAACCTTTTTATTGCTGCCTATCTCCATGTTTGTTTCCCTCCGACACCTCTTACTACACCCACAGGATAATTATGGGAAAGTGGAGATTCATACACTGCTACTTCTTGTATTGTTATTTTAAATTTTTTAAAAGAAATTAAAGCCTTTTATACAGGCTCTTAGTGTAAACATTGTTATCCTTGAAACCAGTGGTTTGGTTTCACTTATAGAACGTAAATTCAATGTAAAATAACATTATTTTTTTAGTAAAATTTAAATTTTCCCTTAATTCCTCAATTTTTGCCTGTTCTAAGCCAGGATGAAAGTATGAAGGAAAAGTTACATCACAGGTTATGTGTACCTATTGTATTTTTATTGGAATGTTGTGTAGGTAGCTAGCGCGGGCGGTGATCTTTACAGTGATTACGTCACTCGGGCTCATAGGGTATCACTGAATTTACGGACGGTGTCGCACAGAAACTTTACGTTCTATAAGTGAAACTAAACCACTGGTTTCAAGGATAACGGTGTTTACACTAACATCCTGTATAAATATTGTATTTTGTTAGCTTCCTGAATCAGAAATCCCAATACTTAAATACGTAATTTAAATATAAGTGACATAAATTGTGTTACAAAGATAAACTGCTAAATGATGAGTAACTGTAGTAAACACTGACCTTGAGCTCTGCTGTGAAACGTTTCCTGACAGATGCGAATCGTGACTGCGCTAGAACACCTATAACTTCAGCATACAGGTCAGCGATTATGTGCACATTTGCCGCATTCGGATTCGACTGCAGGCTGTAGATGTACAAAAATATAACAATTGATCATTTATTTATTACGTTCACAGAGATTAATTGACAATCACTCAACGTTAAAGTCAGAATGGGACAGTAAAATTACAATAATATTCAAATCAATGATACATTGATGATTACATGTTTATTATAGTAACACCACCCCCCCAAAAAAGAGGGCCCGAGAAGGGGCCCGAAAAAAGGGTTCCGTGCCACAAAAAAAAAAAACAAAACTTACCGGGAGGGGGGCCGGCAGACCCCCCCCCCAAAATAAAAAAACCCCATATACATTCTAAATGGTGACTCCATACCAGCATACCAGCCCTTAATGTTGTTTTAAACTCAAATAGCAAGACTAACAATTGTATAAAACACACACAGTTTGTCTCATCTACATGCATATCCTTTCATCGATCATCTAGATCACGGATATTGTTTTATGTTTAGAAGGATATGGATAAATGTGAACCTCTGTGTTGGATTTAGATAATTTTATATGGATTATAGATACTGTCGATAATATTTCATTTAACTTATTAACTACTACTTACCCTTCCTTGTAATTAAAGCGTTTGAAGGCCAGTGTTTCTATATAGTGCACAAGATCCTCATGACCCGGGTGAAAAGGAAGCTGACGAAGCACTTCGATCAGTGCAAGGCAAAATAGGAACTCTACAGCAAGGTCGCGTCTCTCCGCTTGCAACTCTTCACAGCTGCGTTCTACTGTCTCTGTACCGGCGCCACTGCCTGACACTATGTAAATTATACTGAAAGAAACATACAGTAGCATTTTACTTATCGCAATAAACAATTTTATAAAAGAATCTCAGAAGGAAATCCGAATATACTATTTCCTTTCTGGCTTTAGCCATTTTATTTCTTTTCTGGCTAAAGCTATAAAATATTCGGATTTTTCACTAAAATACTAAGGTGGCTATATTATGCTTCTCATGACAGAGATTTTGGGGGCAAGAAATAATCCGGCGAACAGTCCCAATACGTTGAAGCGGACTTTATATATTACGTCTTGGAAGTAATTTCTTTTTTTATACTAATACATGGGTGGTTCCTCAAGATGTTATTTTTCACATCCATATTAAAATTAGTACTTAAAAGTGCAATTTACACTTTCATTCGTACCGCCGGAATTAAACTTAGATATAAATGTACGAAAGTGAACAGTAATATTTCGTTTGTTAATAGCTTACTAGTAAGCAACTGTGGTGACGACCACATTTTCTGCACACGCAATTAGAAAAATTATAATATACTAGCAAGCCCGGCAGATATTATTCTACCCTTTCCTGTAGGTGGCTTAATGATGATACAAAGGGGGCCGAGTTGTGACAACTTTCAAATATAACGGCTTCGCCAATAAATGATTTGCTATCTGAACTGGTACCATAGCAGTTGCTTCAATCATATGATTATAATGTAGTTACAACATTCATGGAACTAAACAGTGGGTTAGCTTACAACCTACGTAGTTTGTTTTGAACTTGGCCTCCCTTTTCACATTTATGGTTTTGTGTGCTAAAAATATCTAAACCACTGTAAATATTTAGTGCTTCAGATTACCTTTTATTACGAAGATCCTGATGTGGTTTCTTAGCCTGTTCATTTAGTTGTGGCGAATCAGCCATTTGACGCTCCAACCAACCAAAAAGAGCACGAAGCAATGAAGGAAGACAGTGTTCGGCGACTGTACCGAAAGCTGATAGAATTTGATCAAGTTGTGGATCCTCACCACGCTGGAGAGTTTTATTCAAAGGCTTTTCCTGTAATAACAACAATTTTTAGTACGAGTGTTCAAATACATATTCCAATGAGCTTATATATGACTAAATAATAACATACAATTGGTTCAGCCATTACAGCTTCCATTTTTCTCTCAGCTTGGACAGTAAACTCAGTAAACAACAGCCTCATGACGAACTCTCCAGGGCGCAAGTCTGAATCTGTAGATGCTATAACAGGACCTTTGTGAGGACCCCAAGGTAGCATGGAGCCTGAAATATAGTTAATAAAATCAATTATATGATTATACAATTCTTAAGAATGCTACTATTTCTTATTAAATAAACACAATAAGCAAATATATAAGTATTGAAGTACAAACCTCTGGTAGAAATAATTGATACCAAAGAATTGCCTACATTACGCCAGTCTGTTGTAGTGGGTGTGGGTGCAGATCTATCTAGTAATGTGTGAGTTTCAGTGGGACTAATGTCATTGGTGAAAGTAAGGGGCGGTTCACTGTCATGTGGTCTATGTTCCGATATTACACTACCCTCAGAATCACCCTCACTAGACACCATCGACGATGGAGCCTCTTCTGTTCCTGCAAAATTATACATTACGTAAAACGAAATTGGCAAAATTCTCTGGTAAAAAGTATTTAAAAAACCAATATTCATGTATTATATTCATTCATAATAGTTTATGAACCTTTATTTAAATCATGGTATAATGCATCAAGTAATATTTTCAATAATGTAATAGTCCTGGACACATGGATATGTGAAGGGCTTGTACTCTGTAGTAAGACGTATATATGTTGTAACTTTACTTTTTATGCAGACATCGGATATATTAGTTAAAAATATTTCTCATTTTTAATACATTTACACTAATCTGAAGGTATATAAAGAACAATACCTGATGCATCTTCGGGATGCCCATCCGATGGCACGGTACTCAGGGAATCAGATTCTTCTGATGTTATCATTGTAATATTTTGTATTTCTTTATTTTACCGTGAATCTGAAATATAACACACCGAATTACTTATTAATAACTATATTCAAAAATATACTCGAATTAGGTTGATCTTCCAAATAGCAATTATAAACTCAGACATTTTATGTGTGTAAGCTGATATGAGACCAAAAGAGGGACTAGATACAATTTAAGACACATGAAAATAACTAGTTTCCGATCTCAACATGAAGATAGCAGCACTCATCAATAAAAGCTAGTAAATGTATAAAGTGCATCATTTGGTTGAGACTGATGAAGCGGTAAAAACGAAAAGGCTAACTGCACAAACATCATCGAAACTAGCTGTGCAGATGTTGACAGTTACGCACCAAAATTTCAGCCATTTTGAGCCAGTTTGAGTGAGTCGATGTGTTTTTGTGAACATGGAAAAAATTAAGTATCGAGCTGTCATTAAATCTTTGTTTTTGAAAGGAAATACGCCTACGCAAATCAAAGATAAGTTGGACTCTTATGTATTCCCCATACTCTCTGCACCATCATTCACCAAAGCGAAATTTAAATTTAAACGTAGCTGTGAGATCTTGGGAGATGATGAACGTTTGGGACGTCTAAAACTGCAACTACTGACGATAAAATCGCGAAACTCACCAAACGTTGCTAGACGACCGCCGTACTAAAGTGAGAAAGCTAGCAGAAAATTAGAGACTATGAAAATGTCCAAAGAATGTGCTTGTCACATATTAAATCAAGATTTAGGCATGAGATAGCTGTCAGCGCGTTATGTGCCGCGTTTGCTCAAGTTAGATCAAAAACGTTTTCGAATGAACATTTCCAATGATCTATTAGCTCAGTTTAGGCACAATAAAGCAGAGTTTTGGTGCCGATTAGTTACTGAAGATGAAACTTGGATACACCATTATACGCCCGAAAGAAAAATACAGACAAAACAGTGGACTGCAAAGGGGGAACAAACTCCAAAAAAAACAAAAGCTGTTTTTTGGGCTGGGAAAGTGATGGTGACTGTTTCTTGGGATAGTCATTATCTTAATCGGTTATCTTCAAAAAGGAAAAAGCATTATAGGAGCATACTACACATCATTACTTCAGATACTGAAGGCAAAAATTCCATGGCGAAAATCCACGAATTATAGTTTGAGCTGCTTAACCTGGGTGACCTTACTCACCAGATCTAGCCCCAAGCAACTTCCTTTTGATCCCTCATCTAAAAATTGCGCTTTGAGGACAGATATTTTCGTCAATCACCTTCGTGAACAATTATTTTGCAGAGAAAAACGCCGAGTATTATTTGAACGGTTTAGAAACTATGTAGAAAAATAAAAATAAATTTTAAGAAAAAATGTCTTGTATCTTGGTTAGGTTAAAAATTTTTCAAACGTCCCACATAATTGTCTACATACATGTAATTCATTACTTCACAAATATTAATAGCTATGAGCATTGTACATTAAATAATTTTGTAAAAAACGTAAATATCCACTTTATTTGTGCACTGGGAGATATATTTTAGGTAACAAATTGGATGTTTCTATGGTTGAATAGAAAAATTGCTTTGTATTAAGACTGACCATGATTGTGTGCAGTATAGGTCAGATCTTATAATCAAGGCTTCTGCGTTTTATATATCATGTGTATTTTGGGTCTGTGAAAACTGCTGGACTCACTAGTGTAGAATGAATTAGCTGAACCCTTATAGTGATCAAATGTAAAAATAAACAATTTATAATGATTTAACAATGACAAAATCTGTTTTGAACAGAACAATTAATTTTAATAGCCAATAAAATGGCTTCTGGTCATATTAATTTCATACTATATATTTAGATTTGTCAAGCAGATTGTTTAGTTATTTAGCATAGTTATAAAGCATTGCGGTGCTGTAATGAAATTATCAACAATTTCTATAATTATTAACCAAAACTACTCATATTCATTGTTAGTTCAGAGCCTTAAAATTACAAAACTCTTAACCTAATAGATGGGGTTGTGGTCGAGATAATAAATAAGTTTTTGACTGACACTGAAAAAAATTACGGAGCGAATGCAGACTAAAAATCGGAAACAGGACGCAGAATAAAGTCTGCTGAGCCAATTAATCTTTAAAAAAGTTACTACAATTGCCTGAATTTTTAATAACATATTGAAATAAATGAGTCATTTCCATTTAGAATGTAATTAATAAGCTTTTTGTTTGAAACCTCGCTTATCACAGTATGAATACACTTTATGTGACTAAACAATAGTGGAAAGTTTTCAAAATAATGGTCCGTCATTAATTTATACAATATGATAGTTGTAGAAGCTTACCTCTAATTAGTCACTTCTGTATAATCAACATTGTATTACAATTCCTAAAAACAGACCACTTATTTAACTTTAACAAACAATGTACATAAAAAAGGAAGTAAATTCGCCATTGCACAAAATATTGACTATCAACTATTTACTTAGAAATCACCATGGATAACAAACAAGCAGACACAGAGGCAAATAAAATGGTAACACTTCACAAAATTCATGCTTTCAACCAGCTTCCTATTTCACATGATAAATGGCTACGAAAACTGGACACTAACCATAATACATTAAAAATCTTTTCTCAGCTTAAAAAGCAATGATGTTAGCATGCAATGCTACGTAAAACTGCATTTTGAACCTTATAATTTCATAGAGTTCTCCTTAAGTAAAGAATCCACTCCCAATATCTATTCTATAATTTATTAAAACAGTATATAGTTTTAAGGAAACTTAATTATATGAAAGGTAAAAAAGGGATACATACATTAAGTACATATAAACACAGCAGCAGAATTATTATTAACATAAAAATTTAGCAGAAGATTCATATCAAAGTAATAAAGAAAAAAATTCTTGCCTTATTGATTTAGATTTCTATTTGTATTATGTAAGCTGTTAAGGATTTTTTTATTAACATTCTCTTTAAAGTTTCAATAAAATATCATTTTGCGTTGGAATTTAGGTTGAAGGCACTTGGAAATAAAATAAAAATCTGTTATTAATTAAGATAATTCATTAGACGCAACTAAATGTATTAAGGTAACAGGTATATTTTATGAAATATAATTAAAATAGGTAAATGAAAATCGCAGCATTATGTATTACATTTCTATTGATAGAGTAACTAAATTTACAAAATTAATAACAAAGAAGTTGTTACAGAACTAAGCTCCTTTTATTACGACACAAATCAATTGCTTGATTTCTACACCCCCTAAGAACGCCAGCAGTGTCAACACAACAATAAATATTATTATAGCCGCTTAAAATTGGAGTGCACCATGACCAAATAAAAAAATAAACAAATTAGATGAATTACAATTTACCTAGCTTTCTACCTCCAAAGAAGGGTTTCACAATTATAATTGAATATCATTTTCTCCCAACGAATGCTAAATACAAGTGTAATGTAATTGAAAAGTAAACGCAATTCACTTTTCACTTTTATTCAGTTAATAACAGTTCTAGGTCGGTCCATTCTCAAACGTCATTTCAAATAGGGATGTTCGATGATCATCGATGTTTGATGATGTTAAAAATCAGAACATCGATGTTGCCACATGTCAAACATCGAAATATCAATGTCAATGAACCCACAATCGATTAATAGTGTCAGCTTTTCTCGAATAAAGGCACGACAACTCAGTTAACTGTTGAATCACTATGTTCGTTGTTTAATTTCACTCTAAAATTGTATATAATACTTTATAACACACTATACTTTACTTTCACAAAGAAGACTATATATTAATTTAACTTTACTCACAACCTTTAGAATCATACATACATAAACACTCACGCCTGTCACCCAGAGGGGTAGGCAGAGACTACAGACTTCCATTTGGCACGATCCTGACACACCTCTCTCGCCTCCTTCACATCCATACACCTACGCATGCATGCTCGTCGGTTAAGGATACTCCTAATTTGGCCCGTTTCAAATAAATCGCCAATTTTGTCGATAAATTTTCGCCTAGGACGTCCCTTTCCGACTCTGCCATTCACTTCTGCAACATAAATTTTCTTTGTCCCTCTTTCCTCATCCATTCTTTCCCCATGACCAATCCACCGAAGCATTCCTTTCTTAATCCTGGTCACAACATCATCTTGCAAACCACACTCTTCTCTTATCACACAATTTTTCAACCTGTCATTCAGATTCAGCCCTAACATACTCCTTAACGACCGCATTTCTACTGCATTTATTCTACTCTCGTGCTTCTTCTGCCATACCCAACTTTCACTACCATACGTTAAAGTAGGGACCAACACAGCATTGTGAATTGCCATACGTGCCTTTTTTGACACATTTTGACTCTTCACAATAGAGTGCAGGGCTCCATTTACTCTGTTTCCTGCGTTCACTCGTCGTTCTATATCCTTATCATATCTCCCATCCCTACTAAATACGCAACCCAAATATACAAACTCATCTACTTGCTCGATCAACTCCCCTTCTATTCTTATTTCACATATCGTTTTACTTTCATCTCTTTCAAAAACCATAATTTTTGTCTTACTTGCGTTCACTTTCATACCCCTTTCTTTGAATGATCTGTTCATTAATGTAACCATCATTTGCAACTCAGCCGCCGACGACGCAAGAATAACTTGATCATCGGCGTACAAAAGGCATTTGACGGTTAACTCACCCATTCTTAATCCGCATTCTTCAACTTTCAAATTTTGCAAACAACTGTCCATAAATAGGTTGAACAACCACGGGGAAGCCACACAGCCCTGTCTGACACCTTTATGGATGCCAAACCAGTCCGAGTAGACCCCGTTGATCCTAACACAAGCACTAGAGTCCCTATAAAGAGATTCCAATGCCTGTATCAAGCCAGCGCTCAACCCAAATGAGTTCAGTGTTTGCCATAGCACATTCCTATCCACTCTGTCATAGGCCTTCTCCAAGTCCATGAACGCACAAAAAACCTTTAGAATCACCTTATTTCATAATAGACTTGA